CCTGTGGCTGTGTGCCAGTGGAAGATGATCAAGTATTATCTTCGAGATGCTATTGAGCTACTAAGGACAATCCGTTATAACGAGGGGACCGCCTAAAGCGGCTTTAAAAGAATTATGCAAAATTAAACTTTCTGAATTTCCGGGAATCACTACGAGGCCATGTACGCGATAAGAGATTCATTAAAGGGCGGGTTGAGGACTATGTCAGTGTAGTTCCTCGGAACTGGGAATATGTCAGGAAGGTTTACGTCAATAGTCGTAACATGGTACTTACTGCAATAATCTCCACCAGTAGGTCCGACATGAGGGCAATGAATGTCCGGGCGGTATTTAACCATGTCTAGTATAAAAGCATTTAGTCTTCACTGGGACGAACACTATGATTAGTAAACTTACTCTTATGAACATAACGACAGAAGCCGGTCTATGTTATGTACGAGTTAGTAATGAGACTTCCACTAGTATGACAGGTCACTTACGTTCTCGCCTCCGGACCAGGATGCACCAAATGGCACCTCTTCCGTCAAGAATTGTATGCACTGGTCATAGCTAGTTGGGTAAGGGTAAGTGTCTAGATATGCATACGGCAGGCATGTACACGCACGATTCATACTGCTGGTTTTCACCTAAACAGTACGTCTGGGCTACTGTGCATATATCTACCGCAGCACGATGCACAATAACATCCGTAGAGTTACCATAATCCACGCCTGTCGTATTGGCAGCCATCAACTCTTCGGCCGCTTTGGGAACCAGCAAAGGAATGTAATAGTCCCAGAACTCTGACCAGCGCCTCAGAGTCGCGTCGTAAGAGGTCACTTTCATGGTCTCGTCGTCGAATCTGAGGATTACGTCGATTTGTAGAGGCAGCGTGAGGTTCACCGTCGAGAAGAGGAGGTCGGTGATGAAGCTGACGAATACGACGGGCTGTTCGACGACGAGAGCTTGTGGAGCTGTCGTGACGGGAGTGCCGATGAGCTGTGTGGTATTGGCTGATGCGCCTTCCAGGAAGAGGCCATAAAGGTATTCTGGAAAAATATCACTAGGTGTATTATGGGACTGTGAGCATGTGCGTACCGATGTTCAACTCTTGACCAACAAAGTCTGACAAAGGAAGGTTAACGAAGCTATACGAGTTCCCGAGAGGAAATGACTTACTAGTGGTGATATCAATTCTCCCCACGACGTTGTCCGCCAGAGTTGAGGCTATTCCCTGCTCCACGATTGGGGCAGGATTAACGAAACTATACGGCGGAATTTTAGTGTATTTGTTTACGCTGGCAGGTTGGATACGCACTCTGCTCCAAACCGATTAACAGCATTAATGTAGGTTTCGAGAGACTGCCAAGCAGCTGCACGTAATGAGAGGGTGCCAAGCAGATATCCGATGAAAGAGAGACGCATTTTAGGGCCTTGAGAATTGGATGTCCCGGAGTCACCTCTTATATGGATGGTTCGCCCTTCTTATACTAGGATCGGACATGAACCATTCCGATAGACTTAGGAGGACCCCGGCGTTCAGATGTTAGGCTCGTTCCCCGCACCAGCGCCGACGATTCGACTGGAATAAATTGAGTAAGAATCCGAAAGACACGCTGGTGTCGTATTATGGTCTGAGAGTTCCTTGATTAGTCAACGCACGATGCGACGGATGTTCAAACATCACTGGTTTGTATGAATACGGACAATCGCAAGTTCCGCAGGCACACTTGGGCGCGCGATGCTTCTCGGTAGCCTGGACCACCATGCGTGAAAAAAGATGGACTCCTCCATTAATTTGATTGGGATCTCCGACCCCCCCAAAAAAACAGCTCAGGTCCCTGGAAGTCAGGTGAGAAAAAATCCTATTATAAACGGTTTTCGACGCGGAACGCGGAAGCAGCGGAGCCGAAGTCAGCTCGTAGTTCCTTGGAGTAAAAAGCCTCAGTTGGTGCCGCAGTATCTATTACAATCTTACTGTTTGTGGCCCCCCTACCAGGACGCGGAAATAGACATTGAGAATTATTTCACTATTGGCAGCGTAAATATAAACCCAGATAAGCATCTAGTTGGATCCATGAGCCTGAGATCATTGAAACGACATTTAACAGCACACCATTTCTTTAAATTCTGTATTTTATTAACCGCCACAAATACGTTAGTAAGGTGGTGTGCTCTGGTTTTCCTGCATGAGTTTAGTTTCATCTGGTGTAGGCGTGTGGTGTGCCAATATAATAATGGATCTGTAGTGTGGTTCTGCACCCTTCAGTGTCACGTAGATTAATCAAAGTTGTTCTGCGTCTTGCCGTGGCCGCATGTTTCAGCGAGCGCCTGACTTTGTCACGGTATGGCGTATTAGTGTGCCATCTCGTAGTTTGTGGCGGTGACCCATTCGCCTTCCGGATCTCCTCCAACCATTCTCTCCCACCGTTTCCATCTTGTCCTGGGATTAGTACTCAGCAGTCGTGAATGTCCTGTTTTGGTGGATGTACCCGTTTCCTCGGTGAATTCGCTTACCGTAGTGCCTCAATTCCTTCTCCGGTGCCTAGGATGTCCGGTAGGTATAGGGTCAGGCTTGATATGGTCCGCGATACGCCATATTACCATATTATTCACGCATGTCCTCGCTACGGGGACCAACGAGTTCGCGCGTCTGGATTGTATCGCCACAAGGGCAGTCAACGTCCTCGCTAAGCACGAATCGGAGCGCATATCCATGCCATGTTCTGCATTGTAGAATCCGCACAAACATCTTTCTTTTCTGTGCAAGATCTTGGATATAACGGAGCTCGTACTTTGCTAGTCCCCCAGATTGTATCGTTCCTCACACCCGAATGAAACCGGTCCCAAGATTTAAGTATACCCCAGTTTCGCAGTGGCAGATCAAGACCGACCTAGGCAGACTTGTTTGGGGGAAACCAGTCGATTTTGCCACCTTACCAGGACGCTGGGACGACTACGAACCGAGTACGATGGAGGCGGGAGGTTAAAAATAAGAGAGCAAGCGCCGGCCAAGGCCTCGAGCAGGAGCTTCATAGTAAAAATTGTTAGGCTCCAATCACCCGGGTCCGGCTACCTCCTTGCCATCAGCAATCATGCACATGGAAACCACGGCAGTATTTTCTCTTGCGGTCCATCATCATACCTAGCCCATTCCCCTGGTAGCTCGGCGCTTATCGTCGAGAGCTTAGTTTTGGACTCGTCTTATATGGTGCTAGCGAATGGCACCTTTATATCAAGCTATCAATGTCCAATTTTACGAGAATGTGCCCGGTTCACATGCTGTCTATCGTGCGGTAGCTGACCCAGAATGGACAGTAGCTGCGTACGTTTACGATGACACCGCTAATGTTGTTGAAAGCACTAACAAATGCCTTGTAGGGTGCCCAACGGCGGTGAGCCCTTTTTGCGGAGCCATTGGAGGTCATCGTTAATTCTAGTCAAGGCTACCTCCTAGCGAACGTTGTCGATGCATGTATGCAGTTCCAAGCTTTAGCAAAGTCGCATCCAGATCCCATACATGTTACGGCCCATTTCCTGCACAGCACCGCCGCTGCTCCGTTCGATATACACATCCGAGTTCAAAAACGAGGGAAAGGGTTCACGAATCTTGTAGCAGAGCTCATACAGAATGTGCGTGCCTCTTTGTCTTCTTGAAAAAAAGCTTCTCACTTGCATTCTAGGACAAGACTACCATCACATCCCATCTCATCTTTGGGATCCTCACCCCATCACCTGATTCTCCAAACAAGACGCTTGCGCCTCCTTCGCCCTACGCTCGACGAGTGCCTTTGTACCGGCATCCGTCTACCGCCCCAATAGAACTTGAGAAGATTCGGGACGTATACAAATTTAGACGGCACTTCCAGTGTACGCAGGAGCCTGAGATCCGAGCCAGGGCTGCTTTGGATAGCCCGACGCGTACCAACAAGACAACAGTCGGTGGCGGAGGCGTGGAAGGTGGCACTTGGTTCGGCCTCACGGACAGGAACGAACGAATAACGACGCCTTCCCTTGCTCTGTTTGCGGACGCCTTCTTGAATATTCCCTTGCTGATACCGAAGAGTGAACCACAAGCGCTTAGATGGGGGTAAGTCTTTTCTTGGCATTCTTACATCACGGTGATTTTACATACGACATTGAAAGCTGGTTCCCTACGATGGTCATAACGCTCGAGTTTAAGTTTTCGATACCTCCACCGTCTAAACACCACGCAACCCGGACGGTTGGGATGTTTTGGCGTGGAAACTTCGTAAATGACCCTCAAGGGAGACACGAAACGTACGTGGAGTTGTGGAGTGCACCGTCGGATATCGGGGAAGGCATCGAGCTCGACGGTTGGCGGGACAATCAAGTCTGTTTGGCTGTCGCTAATCAGATGTCTCTGAGCCTCCCCATGGAGGTTAATCTCAAGCAAGGGAGTAATGACTCGGCGAAACTGTGACTATATACCTAAGAATCCTTTGCTATGCCAGCGACGAACATCGACTAGAATACGAGTGAGTAAACACCACCAGCCCATCACCTCCGATGATACGTGGTCCGTGCGAAAGTTTCAACACCCGGTTTGTTTTCCTTGGTTGGTCTATTTTTCATTCTCGGCTACAGGGCTTTCCCCCTCAGTGCGTGAAGATGTCTATGCTCTAAAACCGCTGTTCAGTTTCTTTAGCGACTGCGAATGGGTATCTTATTCTTCCGAGTTCTTCTAGTGGGGCCTCAGCAATGCCAGGATTGGCTGACCGGCTGGTTATCAAATGACTCGAAGCATCAAGCCTGTGCAGTCTTTGGAGCCCTGAGAAGAATGTCTGTTGTTCTGTTCCTTGTGGACATGCCGGCTAGATTTACTGTCCATTCTATGGTACCCAGCCTGTGTCTCTTGTCTGGTCCGACAAAGAAGTCAATGACACTCATAATTAGCTGGACGACCTGCCCATCGATATCTCACAGGTGTTTGTCTATCCCAAGCGCATAACAGTACTGCTCTCTATTCGGGAGAACGGGAGAAGTGCGCGTGTTACCCGCGCTTCCCTTAGAGGCAAGAGCGAATTAATTTTGGCATAGATGAGTAGAAATACCCCAGACTTGGTGCCTACTGACTTCCTTCATTGCCGCTTTATCGATGTACTGGAGCATCTATAACAAGATATCCTCCATATGAGCTCTGGTCCTTCACTCAGGCTAAATCCTGACCATCCAGGGGCGAAGACATCTGCTGACATTGGAAGATGTTTCGACATTTCCGTAGGAATCGGTGCTTTGCTATGGTGTTACTGACGAATACCAGACACACCAGGAATGGAGCTGTCGCAATGCCCGACGCTCGGCTTGTGGTCGCACCTTTTGAGGACCAAGACGACCTGTCATTTGCTATTTTTATTTCCACAACAGCGGTAATCTTCCAGACGCTGTTTGCCTCGAGTCTTCCGAGGATGTTTTCAGCTTTAAGGACAGACTATACCTCGCGTTTAACCAGCCATCGCAGAAGTCAAAAAGTTTACTCGAACAAGCGAATTAATTCATTACTGGACATATATCATACACTGATAACGATCGTGCTGGGCGAACGAATGGATGAACCTGGAATAGGCCATTAATTGGTGTTATCCTGGGTGTGGGGGGTATTGGCCAGTCCAACACGACTATTCGTCGTGTCGTAGACACAATAGAACCGCTGAAGGAAAGCAAAGCCATCTGAACATTTCACGCTACAATCAGCATCCATATGAATATGTGGAAACCACCACGAACCTATGAATTCGAGGCCCGAACCTCCCATGTCTCCCATGTCAGCGACGACAAGATAGATTCCGTCAGCTTTACCTCCCATCATGGCGTTCATGCTCCTAGGCCAGATCTGGGCATTAGGCGTCATTTCAAAAGTAGTCTAGTCATGGAATGAGTGTTGAAGGTGCCAGACGGGAAAGCTGAGCTCACCGAACCAATCTTGAAGCAAAGGTTCTCCATTTTTCCAAATTGTTCCTTGGTGACACACAAAAGTCCGGTAGACCTGCGGATATGTGTCAACTATCACTTAAATCAGTATTAAATGATCGTACTCGTCCATCTTGGCTCCTGTGGCCTCCATGTACTTCTTATAAGCGCCACTGGACATGAGAAGCAGAGTCGTTCCGGTATCAACGATACCAGCAGTCTTCGACATAATGACGGTGTTCTTTCCGTATGTGACCGATTGATCGATACCCCAGTACTTGCAGGCAGGAGACGTGGAAGTGATTGGCACGTAGGTGATATCTCCAGTGTACCTAGCCGGCAGTTATTGACAACTGAAACGAAGGCACAACGAGAAGTGAAACTTACTTTGCAGAATCTTCAGAACCGAAGGTCATTTCTCCATTCGCCATGTTCGCGCCAGCCGTTGGCTGGTAAGAAATGGCAATCGACTCCTTCGGAATTTTGCCTTCGCTCTTGAGGTTGTCAGTGACAGTGGGGATGTTTCCCAAGCCAGAGACGGTTCCTGAGAGGTAAAATGTTAGTCGGACATTGGCTGCAGGCGAGAATACTCAACGTACCTTGGGTAAGGTCAACCGGTCCAATCCTGTAACTGCGTTGAACTTTTCTCTATGAAAAGAAAAGAAACGTACCCCAGGATACCGTCGACGCCTTGGAAACCTTGAGTCGATAACAAGGCCAGGGGAAAGCTCGCATCGGTCGATCACTGGATAATTTGGTTTAGAAGGGCCAACGCATGGATCTGTAGAGCTTACTCTCCATTCCGGTGAAGGAGCCTGACCCGTAGCTGACATTCTACAAATAAAGAGGCGCATGGGACGATTACTCTGCCATCGCAAGTAAAACACGTACGACGGCCTTCCGAGTGCTAAGGAGAAAGGTGGTCAGGACTTTGAAAATGAAATGCTAGCAGTATGACGCACTTCTTGGATGAAGGCGATGGTTTGTACTCCTGGTCAGCGCCGACCCAGGTGTTGGAGCTTCCTGTGGAATGTGTAAGCCAAAGAGACAGAAATTAGACAATAAGATATGCACCCGTATCGATGAGAAGCTTGAAGGATTGACCAGACTGCCCCATCTTCACCATGGCGGTATACGTAACGGCTAAATTCGAAAAGGATATCAGAACAGACGCATATATTCGAACAATGGCTTTAGCACACACACCCGCATCCGTCACATCAATTGAATTTCCACTGTCGGACTGGCCAGATAGAGCGCGCGCGGACCCGTCTCTCTTGCACATCTCCTGGATGACAAGAGGACCGTGAGGCTGCTTGCCGGACATGAGCTTCTGCGCGCGAGCCCTGTCGCGGGCAAGGATGTCCTTGGCGTGCCCGCACTTGGGGTGAAGACGGGTGGAGAAGGGAAGAGTATTGACAGAGACGCGAGACATAATGAAAATACAGCGGAGAAGAGTGGTATTCAGGAGAGATGGGGGTAGTGAAGAAAGAAGGAGACGCCTAACTGGCCAGGCTTTATAGTCGAGCGATATTTGTGCTTGTCGTGCATATGTGGCGAGGGGATGTGCACAAATATCAATATTAGGTCCAAATTTTGTAGATCGGAGAAAATTCGACCGGCGATCCATGCGTCATCATCAATGGATGACGACAGTGATGGCAGAAAACAGGACGCGTCGCGGTAAGACTGACAGCATGTGAGCAACAATAGGTTCACTGGCACTTACTTTAATACTTACAGGGATGACGGCGAAGCTGTCATGCCGAACCTATAAGTAGTGCGCGAATAAGAGTTCCAAGTTATAAGGGACAATGTGGTAAGGTCAATATTCCAAAAACACGTCCCCTACATTTTTCACGAGTACATCGTTTCCCGCATCTTGCGATTTTTGCAAGTCAACTTCCTTAGTTTGCCATTGCGATGGATATAAGTTATTGGAGGGAATAAGTGGTATCGTAGATGCGATGACGTTACGCTGTTGGGCGACGACAACGGTGTGCATCTCTATCCGCAGCATAGGTGCATTTGGTGGAAGTAGCCCGCATGCTTTGTCTGGTGTGAGGGTCTTTCTTTGATAACGAGAGAATTGGGCCAAACCATCGGACCAACGAAACGAAGTTGCACATACGTCACCAGATAGTACCACCGTCACGAACAGTACGTTGTAACGGAGATTCCGCACCGCACCATAATCGTTAACGGAATGACCTAGTATAAAGTTCAAAATAACTCAGATGGCGACGTCGGAACTACTACTTACGAGCGATGGAAACAAAAACCATCCAGGCTACCCATTACTGACTGGTCGCTGTCGAGCAAACTCAGACTTTACTGTTGAAATGAGCGGTAATTCTCCAGCCGCTCACTCGGATTTAGCAGGGAACCCTCGCAAACAGGCGAGGGTTATCGTTGTTCGTCTAGCTATTTATCTACAATGTACACCTAATAGAAGTAATATTACGTAGTAAACAAGGCCGAGGAGAAGAACAAGCTTCCTTGCCTGACAACCGATGATCCCGACGTCAAACGCGCTGTGATGCGCGACACTTGAAATTCCAACATTTACTTCGTCGAGAATTCGCTCAACTCGTTTGATTATGCTAAGAGAAGATAGCGAAGCCAAGAACGGATGCGCGACAACCTCAGCCTTGTCGGGAATGGGCACTAGTTACCCTGAATATAGTATATTTGTTTAAAGCAAAATGCAGTCGGATATGGTGTACAGTTATTTACCGGTCATTGCAACACCATGGTTCAATGAAACACTTAGCCTCTTGCTCTCCCTCCCTTCATCCTTCATCATCAACTTGTATTACATTGCTGATGTGTATTGTATCTTCATGTTCTGCAGTGATTCTTCATATGTGACATGAATAATATTCCCGAGAAATTGAGGCTTCTGTTCTAAAAATATCTATTTTCTCATGAACTCAAAATCTGACCTGGAAATGTGTGTCCTCCATCTGAATGTAATCACCCACAAAGGCCTCAATAATGTTAATGACCTTCTGAAGAACCTGTGTGACAGGTTTGAGACCAAGCGGCCATTATCTGAGGAGTCTAGGGCATAAATAAAAGTGCGGTTCTGCCAAGCCATCACCTTTGATGGACAGTCTGACAGTCCAATGCGTCCATTATTGCCCTGCTGCCTCCGAACTTTATTTCTCCTCTTGTTCAATTTTTTACTATGCCTGGACATGCCAAATCAAACTCGAAAAAGTGTCAGATTGCTCACAAATGCCATGACCAGCTAATGGAAAAGGCAGTCATTGCAAATGATTGCATACAAGAATGAGCTTGTCAAACTACCTGGTGCTCCTCGGAAAGGTGCAAGAAAAATCTGCAAAGATTTTGAGGCTGTATATCAGAGAGAGACTGGAAAGGAGATCTCACTTTTCTATAGCACTCGAGCGATTCCGAGTAGCTGACTAATGAGGTTTGGGTATATGGGCCGGACTGTTTCAATGACTCAAAATAGCCTAGAATACCCACGCCACGATAATGCTGTGAAAACGGACTTGTACTCGCACCTTTGAGCATCTTTTTTTTACTGTATCTTATTGTTGTATAGTATTACACATTCTTACATTCAAACCTAGTCAAAATTCCCAACCAATTGGAACCTACAGTAAATATCCAGTTTTGCTGTTTCATTGACCGGTAAATAACTGTAACGGCTAACATTGCCGCCTCTCACGCGGCAGCTCGGGGTTCGATTCCCCGTATCCGAATTTTTTCCGGTTTAGTTCAACGAAATCATAAATGTAATAATACTAAGTTCAAGATTTGAAAACTTACAGTATAAATGATAACACTAGGATACACCAGAACGATTACTGACTATTTCTAGAGTAATCTGAATCGTTCTACGAAAGTTTACTCGATGTACATCGTGCAAGGTAGGGTGAGCCGCGCCCTCAAAGTTACTGCTCGTATATAAAAGACATTACCTCAATGAGAGGAGCTCACAAATTATTTTAGAATATCTTCCTGCGTTCTGAAAAGGAACTGGTGTCCACAGTGAATTTAGCTACTACTACAGCTATCAGTCGGACTGAGACTTTTCCCATGTTAGGACAACGGCTCGCTTTCTCTCTTCCAAGGTACCTAGAACCTACAATCCTTCCCGGCTCCGAAGACAAAGAATTGAATGCCGATCAGTTTACGACAGATGAGGTGTGTCCTCTCAATTCATTTACATCTACAAGTGCGCCGAACTAGATCTTTCATTCTAAAGGAAGCGGACCGACTGAACCAGTCCATTTTACCATTACCGAAATCCCCGAGAGATTCGTCCTGGAGGATTGCCACCGGATCGTCCTTGTTCTTCACAAGCTATTAGTAGCGAAGAACCCATGGCACATGACCGGAGTTAAACACCGCTCCGATGGCGAGCAAGCACGGAACGGTACTTAGGACTCAAACACGAGCGGAAGGTAAGATCGGCAGGGTGAAATTTTGATTACTAGGCAGGCACAACCCATGCGAGAAAGTGAATGACCCGAGGTATCCGACATGTGGCACACAATTGTCAGTAGTATACGGCAGTGGCGCACGTTGTTTGTTGAGAGCAAGGCCGTAGATGATTCGATTGAGGATGAGTTGACCAGCCTGGAGGAATATCTGGCGTCATCGGGCCCGGAAAGGTCGCCTTACCGAGGCGTCCATTGAGGTGGCTGTACCGCTAGACAGACAGGCGTCGTACCATTTATCAGACTATGCGCGCCTAGACTAGTAGTGCAACATTCAGGAAGTCGATAGAACCCGGTGTTGGCTTAGAGTAGAGGCTCGTCAGTGACAGACCTGGAAGAATCTGAGAGATCCAGGACCATGGACGGCAAAAACTGATGTCCGTGCACTGAAGACAATAGACTGGATAACTTTTGCTACGTTTCGCGTATACAGCGGTAATAGGGTATCTGTCAAACCTGTAATAAATTGGTTACTATCTCGTTAACATTTGAACACAAAGAGGCATAGTCCAATCATCAATGAGGGGCGGCGCTCTGCTATCGCGCAACTCAACATGAGGTTTAGAAAAGACAACGAACGTTTACCTCGTGATGATAAACGTCAGTCGGATTGTAAATGTCGCTATCAGTGCAACTCCAAGGAGGTTGTGGCAATTACAGGCAGTCGGTGTTCACGTCTAAATAACTCTGGGTGAACATTTGAATACCGTAAATTTTTGATTATTAAATGACGCGCGTCCAGAAATAATTTAAACGCCGGTGACACGTTGGTAGGATCAAGCAAAGGACTGAAGGTCGGCGCCCAGCGCATCGCAATGCATAGAATACGGACCATCTGTCTTTGGAGAGCATACACCAGTGAAAATACGTAGTGCCTGCCATGATTCCGTAAAGCAGATTTTGAACGTGGGCCGCGTTAACCCCCACTTCGGAAGACCGGGAGTAAAAAGACAAAAATCCTCCAGCTCACACGAGAAACCTCTTTAATTCCAGGCACGCCTGTCATGCGGCGGCGTCGTATATATATTATAAGCGCCGGTTGTAGAGGACCCTCGACAGTGATGTCTGTCTGCGAAAACCACGAAAATCCAGCCACAAGGGACTGCAAGTGTCACGCAGATACGGATATTCAGTCAACATATGAAGTTGAGCCATCTTGTTCAAATCAACGTCAGCTTTCGGGTAAAAAAACATAACGAATATTTCAACAGAACATTCCAACGCACTAATACGGATGTACAGTGATCAGTTACTCCTTTAGCGTCTCTTAGACGGCATAGAGATTTTGCTCCTTGTGCCATTCTTCTAATGAAAGAGGACCATAATCATCATAGACCTCCTTGTCACCCTCCGGAAGGCGAACGTAGTCAGGTTTGGAGTTCATCTTGAGGCACACCTACAAAACAGATAATCCATGAGTTCGATATAAAGCCGATCCTCAGCAACCAAAATCACCATTTTCTTTGGCACTTCCAATGGAGTATCGATTGCAGACGCGAAGGGATGGATAAGCTCGGGCCTAATATTGAATGAACGACGGCGATCAGATCGTAGCCACTAATTCGAACGGAGAGCACGCAAACCAGGTTTCATCGTACAACCACAGCATAGTGGAGCATTTGGCGCAGAAACTCCTCTCAGAGGTAGCGATGCGTTCTTGAGGCGTGTCCCGATCGATTACTGCCTTATATATACTGCCAAGTGCCAGTTCCAAGTACTCGTCGAATTGATGCCCGAGATTCGTACCTAATGTGCTCTTTCCCTTGGAGAACCTTCAGGGTGCTCGAATGGCCACCCAAGTTGATAGCTCCTCCAGTTCCGGCAGTTTTGCGACAGATGGAACAGCAACAAAGCTACATGAGGTCAAACGAGATCAGCATCGCTGCGGCCAATGCGGTTAGTCGCCACCCACCTGATAAGGGACAGCCGTGCTAGATTCAAGAGAGAATTTGACTGTACCACAGTGGCAACTACCTTTGAGTTCGATGGGCATTTTCTTCTGTCGTTGTTGAAGCTAAGTAGGGGGCGATTACAAAGCCTGCCACGGAGGCACTATGATGTCACCAAGGACATGACATTGTTAAGTACAGTAACAAAGCGTAAAGCTGACAAATTTTGATAGATCTATATGTTGAATAGCAAAGCAATGTGTGTCAACCCACGGTAAAACGGATGTTACTGTATGAAGTTACCGAGAGAGTTGAGTTATCGACCCAAACTCTTACTGTACTATTTCATTCAATTCGTCAATCACAGGTCACACAGCCAAAAAAACTCCTTGCCGAAAATCGCCAAAAATCGAAACAAAATTTTTGAGCCTCCCGAGTTCAAAAAATGTGACGAATTGAATGAAATAGTACAGTACTTGGCATCCAAAAAAGAGGTCTACAGCGGCATGTGATGATCAGATCATGCCAATTTCGCAGGAATTGTGGCAGCGAGTGCCAAGTAGCAATGATTGAAATTCATACCAATCTAATTTCCTTGACAATCGTGAATGAGCTCGTGGGCAGAATCTCCTGGAGGTTAACACATTAAATTAAGAATTGGAGGACAGAAGATTTGAGGTGGTGGTGGGATGTCTATTAGTCCAGGCAAAGCGGGTACATCAGCAAAACCCAGAAGTGGTCTTTTGCGTCTTTTCGGTCTTGCACAAGACCAAAAAGACGGCAAAGACGAAAAGATCAAGGGTCTTTACCAAGTAAGGTACATATTCTTGTCAAGAAGGATTTCCTCTTTGCAAGATCTAACGCTGTCTTAGGGAGAGAATGTTTTCCCATCTTTCATTTCTTTTTTCTTTCGTGTTCTGGTAGAATATGGAAATACTAGTATATTGATTTATATCTACAACAATGAACTATAGCACGTAACACTAACACTACAACCCTCTCTGCCTCGGAAATAGAAATGAAGTTGTGCCGTAACAAGAGAGATGTTGCAAGAAGGAGCGCCCGTAGGAAGGATAAGAACAAGGTGATTTCGATGACATGATGGTGCTAGGAATATATCAGTATTGTATCAGATTATCAGAAGAAAACGCACCACGGAAGAGAGAACAACAGCTAAGCAGTCTAAATGACACAAAATACAATGGTGAATAATTATATGAGGGGATGGAAGAAGCACACACCTGCCGGCACGTCCCTTCCTGGACAGCCACCATCTTAGTCCTTACAACGGCCCTCTCCTTGGTCTGCACGCATCCACCTACAGCTCTGGTCAGTTCAGCAGCGAGTGATAATGAGGTGTTAGGTCGTACCGCTCCTTTTCTCACTTGTTGGCAATGACGGCAGCCCGGAAGGAAACACAAAAATCAGATATAGTCAGTTCAATGAGAGACACCCTTACCTTTGCCCTCATACTGCCAGTAAATACCCAATGGCCCCATCATCAGTATCGAGTTGCAGTGAAGTGACGGCGATGGTGAGAGAGAGAGGAGGGAATAATCAATTCGGACTCCGAGTTCAAGTCCAACATCACGTGGACATGTTCGTGGCACCACCCGGAGATGCCCTGGCGGAGTTTGAAAGAACTTCGCAGATTTTTTGTTCCTCTTCCGCCATTCCATGCCATTCCGTGCGCCATCTGCAAGTGGCTGCACTGCTGCAACATTGCAACTTCACCGTGACGATCTGTGTGGGCCTTCAATTGGAACGATACGGCCCTGATTCCCTGCTGCGATCCATCCTACATCCCCCACACGCACATCGGTGCCAATCGCCCTAGGGAGGGGATTCTTGAGGCCTCACGAAGATAGGATTGGCCAGGGGATTCCCCATCCGACCCCATCTCCAGCCTGTGGAGCGTACGGACGCAATGCCAACAAGCGGGACAACAACAATGACTACGACAACGATGGTGCTGACGGGATGGGCAGGGAGGCTTCTGTGATAGAGCAGGACCATTGTGGGTGGTAGGGCAGGGCCCGGTGAAACTGCCTGCTGAGGAGGTGCAGGAGGAAGGAATGGTACAAGCAGGATGGCAGGACCGAGCATCCAACAACGGCAGCGACAATGGCGTTCATCTAGGCGTCGATTCTCATCCCACGGACGTGTCGATCAACACCAAGACGATGGCGACGCAGGCACTGACAGCCCCGCCATTGCCATACCCGCCCGATACCAACACCATCTCCAACCACCCGTCCTAATCCACAAATGCCCCCGACCCATTTTCTCTCCCGATGTCGCCATCTCCACCAACGATGATGACGATGACCAATCCCTGTTCCTGCCACATCCCGCACCCTCCACTGACCGTACGACCACCGTCGGACCCCCACCCCTGTCTTCGATGGTGGTCTCTGTTTGCCCTCATAAGCCTACTGCGATGCTCAATCCCACCGCCGATGCCTACCTTGCCCTCTACCTTATCCCTCGCTTTATATATTTATTTGTACTACAATATGAATATTACATATTTACATAAAACACAAATTCGTCAAAGAGACAAAAAAGTCATCAAGTTCGGACTCGTACCTGCTGTGCTTGCAATGGTCCACATTGGAAGGTCATTTGAAGAAGACCACCTCAATTGATAAGATCAGAAAGCCACAGAAGACCCGGTTTGCCAAGACCAAGACTCGATCACCCAAGAAAAAGAGGCGGAAAGATGACTAAAAAAGACCAAGCCCGGAAAGACTAATTCTGGGTTTTGCTGATGTATAACCAGGTATAAACTTTTCGATCGGGTAAGGCCGGGTACCGGGCCGCTACTAAGAGGAGACTAGGATATAACCGGCCCTGAACTTCAACTTGGTTTCAACCCCCATACTGTACTGAATACTCGCGTACTCCCCTGACTTTCCTGGCCGACCCCCCCGGATTGTTCTTGTTCCATTGGAGGTTGTTCAATGAGGTATGGTATGTATCATCTCCTTGCGCAGCACCACCTGAAACGTCACTCCAGTAGTATCCATACCCGTGCCGGCCTATAGAATAAGTTTGTACTCCTAAATACCTTTACGAAGTTTCCAACGCAATTCGATGTAAGGGCGCCGATGGAAAGGCCATGATTCATCATTGACTTTCACATTGAAACTAAAATATACTGCGGGCCCCTGCTGACAGTGGCCCAGTCACGGCAATGATAGCTCATCGAAGCGCCGTAGCTATTGTATTTGCCTTCGACTCTACCTAAATCATACGAAGTTTGTTGTCGAGATGTATTGAACATTTCATTGGCCTAGTTCTCAATCCATCTCCCTAATAGCTCGCCTTCAAGGAGCTCTAGACCATAAAGATGACAAACCACTTATAACGCGCTGGCAGTCGAACAACCCCGTTCTTCGTTGGCTCTCATGTTCTCCTGCCGTTGAATCTAAAACTCCCGTCTCCGTCGTCAGAGCAACACCTATGGCTGGCGTCTTTTCCTGTTTAGATCATCCCGTTGAATACCGCCATACCCATATTTCCATATGTTGAAGCAATCCATCAAACCTTCTGTTGGCTTCTCTTCGTCATTTGTGACCAGTATCGCAACCCGACTATACTATATTCGTCAAGCACATATTCCGAAAAAAAAGCTATAACATTCATACTCGGCTTGTTTCCGCATGGCGGTAATAAGGTGGAGTAGAAAGCGCTGAAGGAGTGATCTTCCGGCGCGTACGCAGGCACGGTGGTAGTGCTTACAGCAATACTACATCGCACAGGACTCCACGTTATCAAGATATGCTATGCTAAAGTAAAACATACAAGGAGTTTAGCGTTGTACAACTAATAACGATACAGTTAATACATATGGTTAGTGGATGGTCCAGGTGACGTCAATCTATCTAAGAAAGGCAATAACTTCAGCAGGTCCATTATTCAATGCTCGGAGAAGAAAGATAGTAAACCGTTGGGGTGTTCCCCTAAACTACTCGCGTCAGCTTGGGAGATTTGACGTCGAATAACCATCAGCTCCTCCCACAGGTGAGGGGGAATTTCATGGTTCTGTCGCAGAAAAAACCGAATTCGATCCAGCCATTCCTTCATAAGATGGAATCTGTTCTCCGTTGTTTCCTCAACCCAAGCCGCCCCACCCTCCTGGATTGCTAAAAGTGAGATCTGTGCGAGCCAGTAGAAAGGCAGGGCATTATAGGCGAATGGTGGCTCATCTGAATCATCTTCCGACCTTGTTGCATCCGGGCAGTGTATCCAAGATTGAAGCCAGTTATGTAGGGCATACTGAGTTGCAAAATGGCTTCCTCGGCGCCCATCATCAACGGCAGACTCAGATGGTAACGCTGATGCGGAAGGCAGAAAGAATGTGTTATCAGAAGTGCTCCGCGAGTAGGAGATATAGATATTGCGAAGAATGGTGTGGATGAGGATAAACTGGGAAAAGGGATTGAGAGGGGCGTGCGAGATTGAAAGTCGCATCTCTCCTAGATTAGTCAGCGCTTGCTGCATGCCGACACCGTACAACCTGCTTGAACCTATTCCGTATGGAGAAGGCTTCCGAAGAAGCTCAGACCATTCCATCGACGTTTGAGCTTTCCACAAGGCGTCGTCGCATGGCAAATTAATGTCGAATTCGGCCGTCAGGAAGGACGGTCGCATGGAAAAGAAAACAGAATGACAGCAGTCATGAAGGTAAGAAAGGAGAAGAGCCCTAAATATCCTTAGTCAGTCAAAGTTCGGATAGGCAGCATTGACTGAATCACCGTTTGATGGTTTCGTGAAAAGCCCATTCCCGCCATGCATGTTCCAATACACCGGGATCATTCATATCAGGGGCAACCCAAGAACGCGAACGAGCGATAGATCCTGTCCTCCGGATCATCTAGAAGCCTCGGTCAAAGAAGCACTCGACATGTAGAATGAAGATCGGCATACCATTACTAACATCCCATGATAAACATTAGAAGACACCCGCAAGTCGGCACGCTGGTGAAAGAGACCAATAGTCTGCAGCAAGACGGCAGCTAGAATCAAACAATCCTGCTCCTTCGGACCACACGTGACCTTGGTCTACACGATCATCTATGAGCACCAACGACGCAGTGTCGAAGACAAGGAACTTACAAATTCATGTATCAACAAATCCCGCGTTGAAGATAAAGTTTCGGTAATGAAGTTAGCGGCTCGTCGGGTCTTAACAAAAAGTGCGCCGCATGCTTGCATTGCGCGAATAAGAATGGGAGGTTTATCTTCCGTCATCCATGTAGACGGGTGCACTAGAGGGAGCTGGGTACAGAATGCGGAGAAGAAAAGATAAACTGAAAAGAAGGTCAGGTCATTACGAGATAATCTATGTTTCGAAAACTTACGATATTGTTGTTGTTCAGTGTCGGCCGGACTTATACCGTTAGACATACTTGATGGGTTTGAGCATCCTCCGGAAGAAGCGGTAAATGGGGGTGAGTCAGTGCGAGGCAATTCCAAAGGTGAACCATATTCCGGTGGCGTAGGCATAGAAACCACACTATGAGAGGACGGTAATGAGTAATCGGTCTCGTATCCATTGCCTCCAAGCCACGAGAAATCCTGCTGCAGACGCATTATTTGTGTCATGATTGGAGAATGATAAATGATCGAGAAGCGAGTCGAACATCCCATTGGAAAACATCTTGTCCATATGAGGTTCGAGCCTGGTTAGCTCGCCATCTCCGTTGATAATGGCCTCGGTAGCAGCATCATCGTCCATGATTGTATCGAAAATGTCCGATGGAGGCGAGGAGTGCGAGGACAGTGAGGGGGAAAAGCCTGGTGTGCAATGGAAGTCAAGCCCCGGAAGCAAGGTACGATGAAAGGTAGGTGATTGCAGAGAATCGGGTGAGGAAGCGGGCGAGGATGGCGAGCAGGAGGACCTTTGATCGGGAATGATAATGGGTTGACTCTCTGTTTTGACCTGGGATGAACGTTTTCTTGCTCCATATTTTTTATGCCGCGAAACAGCAGGATCATTGATAAAAACGCATTTTTTGCCTCGCGAGACGCATTTTGAGCAAGGATACTGGAGGTTGCATTTGACTTTGGACTCAGCGCAGGCCTAGAAAATCAGTCAGAATATTCTCGATCCAACCCTGTCCAGCGCACCTGACAAGACTTCCTTCGTGATCGATGTGCACTGAGCCTATTAGAACGTCGTTGATTCAGTATTCGTACTAACGAAAATAGTGCTTACGGATCCCCGCACGTCTTCTTGTGTCTTGTCAAGAGATCGCTCCTAGTAAATTCGGCGCCACACAACTGAGAAGCAGATTAGGTGATGTCAGTTAAGAGTGCGTCTTATGCTACTCACATCGCATCGGTGAGCACGTTCGTTGGTGTCTGTATAGCCGATGTATATCAGTAAACATTGCAGACGCTTCAAAGAGGGGATTACAGACGTGAACGGATATGTCTATGCAAGTGTGTCGTCCTCGTGAACTTGGCAGGACATAGAGGACAGTACTTCGTTTGAGGCAATGTTGGAGCATTCCCCTTGTGAGAGCGTATACGAGACACTTCTCCATTCGCTTTGAGTTCGACCACAGGGCTCATCTGAAATGTAAGAGAGTCATAGGACGGAGGGGAAGGACTCATGGCGAAAAGGGACAAAGAGAGGGGAATTCGCGTTGGGAGGTTATAAGTCCGCTCCTCGTGGACACATTAATCCCCTCTTGATTCTTTAAATTTAAAGATCATCATCATTCAAAACCTACTCATCGGAGCGTTTACGTTGCGTCCCCGGAGGGATTAGACCGCAAGAAAGAGATCAGGTCGGTACAGCATCTGATGACCGATTGCAAAACAGAAGGCTGAACACAGCCACCTGCCGTGACGGAGAGATCTGACTCGAGGAACTGACATTGATAGGCAGGCACCAAGAGAGCGACATGATCGTAAGGATGTCAACTGAGCCGAACTAACTGTAATCGGATGAGTCAGTTCGCCCGAGGATGTTTATGGCGAGGCAAGCGGAACCATACCTTGATACGTATCCACCTAATAAGGACGCCAAATGGTATACACCGACAGTAGCTGTTACCTTTGTCGTCCTCAAAATCGGTATCCGGTACCTAGAATGATTTAAATCTTCTTCGAAAGACTGCTGGTTCCCGTGGAGAATGCAATATAGAGTGCATCCAAAAACGATGTACGCATTGCCAGCTTTGCGGTGCATGAAATAGCACTACAGAATAGGGGAGGCAATCCGAGCTGCCACACTCAGCTAGCGTCGGAGGTTTCATATCCTTGTCATGGACCCGACACCGGGATATACAAAGGGTCCGAGTCGCCAATTGGAACGACTTGCAAGTTATATGACGTATATCATGGGACCATTCAAGTAAGTAGAGTGGGTAGCGCGGCATGCGATGCTATCTGATACGCGGCCTTAGCGCTGCTTCATCTATATATGGGAGAGGCTTATGAGAATAGAACCAGAAGAGGAGGAGTCAAGGCTCGCGAGTGTGAACCTACGAAAGATCGCCTCGAAAACTCTATCACGCGGTAGGTACAAGAAAGCTTGGTGGGAGGACCTACTACATCGAGAACGGCGCGGCGAGCATCGTACCTGTACAAGCATCTGCATTGTTCGAGCACATGGTTCGATTGGTTGGGCGTTCTTCACCCTACCATCGGAGACAGTAATATAGCCAACACTGTCGACTGATGCTGCCCCAGAAAGGGGCGGGACCGCATAGTATATCTAGATCCACTTTGATGCGTAAATGCATGTACGTGGTCCCGGTCCTACGATTCCGGGTGATTATAGCATTATATCATAAAATATAGCAAGGCTCCGTTTTAGATGCAGTGACCACCAGTACGCTAGTAACAGTCAAAGGCCTGTGAAACGAGTTGCTGGTTGATGGGCGGAGTTATCCAAATCAGTTCTCTGTGACGTATAGCATATGGGAGGAAGGCAAATACTACTCATGCTATCAGCAGTGGTAGTGATTCACTGAGATCGACGTTCAAAACGGGAAGCGGAAGGAAGAAGGCAGATGGCGTGGGAACATTCAAGGTAGCAATCGAAATAGGGTTCACACGCCAAGTTTCTACCAAAACACCCTCTTAGCTCAGCATATCGTGAACTTTTATGTGCTCTATCGTACTAATCCAAATCAAAATAGCATGCTGTTCAGCGCCCTAGTACATGGTGATAGTATCAGCCCACGGTATTCTGGCGCAGCCATTCGGGCGTATCCTCTCTTGATGCCAGTGTATCTTCGGAATACGGCAAGTCACTATCGTGTCTAACTGCGGTCCTTGCCAGGCCCTTTTCACGTCTTGGGTCCGATGCCAAGAAGGGTTGGAGTCGTTCGCATGGGGCAATCTTTCAGAACGGCGAGAAACGCCGCTTAACGTTGTTTGTATTGATTAAATTGTCGTGATAGATGATCGTCGTTCAATCTTCCTACCAGAATATCGTTTGTTGGCTGATAGAAACCTTCTAGGCCTCATTTCTTTTTCAATACCCGCAACGGTTTTCTTGCTTTTGCCAGAGGTTTGTCTTTGACGGTTGTACAGAGCCTTCCAGCTGACTATGTAGGGTTTAGCAGGCGCTCGTTAACGCCACAATCGCAGGGCTATTCCTGCCCCGATCTATTCTGAGCTGAGAACACAATCCCGAGGCAAGTGTTTCATCACTACATCAATCCGATCAAGTACAACTGTACGGTAGTTGTCACAATATACACTCTGCCGTCATCCTTGGCACAATTGGGCTCCTTTCGCAAGCGTCACATTCTGGAGACTCTTTCATCACAACAAGGTGCCTACTGCCGCACTTTTTACATAACACCCATCCACTCGCCTCAGTCCATGCAATTTTTATCTGTACTTTGTCGTCGAGGGCTTGCCCTACAATATGTGATGTCTTCTCGAAAAGGCTGGTTCCATTGCCGGCTGCGGATTAAGCGCCTATTGCCTTTTCACCTTCCGTCGTGTATGAGCGCTCTTTCTTCGTCTAATAGGACAATCACGCTGGCGCATACTTAGACGATAATTCATTGCACCCTGGTTGCGTTAATATCGAATGAAACATGAGTCTGTTTCGCCCAGGATCACTGTATAACAATACACACAACTTGAACAGGAGATTATCTATATTTCTGGTTTGAAACGACGCATTCTAACGCCGCTACAGTAACAAGAAGGGAATTAGGCAACGCTGCTGAACGATGCTGCCTTCTTCGAACCGGACTGCCCCCAGTTGCTGCACGCCAAGAGAGCAACACCGCCCGGCCACGTTCGCACCAACTACAGTGTAGCAGCAGCCGCCGTGGCACCATACAGACATCCTCAAACGCGATCTTCCAGTTCTTCTACCGCCCATAAGTCTGAATTTAACAATCTTCAGTTTCAGGAGTCTTCGTAAGGCAAGAGGCAGGTAAGTATCGGAGATAAAAAGAACAAAATGGAGCAAACCGAGGGGAGAGATAGCAAACCAATCGGGTTTGACTCAACGCTATGAAGCACTATGGCGAGGGGTGCCCGGAAAATAAGAGTTTGGTGTATCTGTCTTCCAGGAGATTCGACGGACGAATGAAAGGTTCGAGAATGATGAAACAGACAGTACGATAGACAAAATCTCGTCGAAGACGACATATATATCGAGATCATCACCACATATGAAATACAAAAGACCTAGGGTCATGTCTTTGCACTAATATGCACCCTCAAGTCTCCGCATTCTTGCCTCGTTGTCACACATATACGCGGAGTATGATCTTGTGTTCCTATCAAACGTCACCTGTTGCTCACCTTCAAAAATGAAAAAGAGTGGGCAGGATCGCATCAACTTCCATGATGGTCGGCGATAGATATGTCAAAGTACAAACCACTCCTAAAGAAGGGCGGTCTGTAGATGCCGTTTGTGATACAGCATATATGAAAATGCGAATCGTCTTGCAACCTTAGACGCAATACGCTGTTCATTGCGCGCTCCAGCCGGATGATCGCTGCCCAAAGGTCGCGTGGATGAGTCGGCCGTATACAAGAAAGTGATGAGGAGATACTGTCAGGAGCCGAAGACGTTCTAGAAGACACCGCAAAGAATTGAGGGCCGCATCTGGTACATGTCTGCTACTAGTGCCAATCCCTGAGTCTGATGAGTAAAGCCCGATGGTCTTCCACTCTTTGTTGTGGGAAACAGTAACTCCAATTCAGACAATGAATTGCCAGGCGACGAAGAGAAGACGTACTTAAGTGACTACCTGCATTGAGAGGCTCGTAATCATGAAAGAAAATCGATGGGAAGATTAATCTTAACAACTCACTGGCATGTTGACGTCTGAGGTCGTAGATAGAGGGCACTGAGCCAGCTGCCCATGGTAAAGAGAGAGAAGAAGATTGCAGGACCGTTCGTGTCCATTAATCGGAATTTTCAAGTCGAGAAGTTGGAACCTGTGCTTGAGGGGCCCCCGCCATCACTTGCGGCTCCGCTTAGTTAATATACCAGTTGACCATCGTACGAATTTTTAGAAGGGGTAAGCGCCATTCTACAAGTTACTGGATCTCTGGTTTACCTTCTATCTGCGTGTCTGTCACCGCAGTCATGTGGATATGTGGACACGTGTGGATCCAATTGTCATGCTTACGTTTACAATCGGCCTCTGATTCGGTACCACCACCAACACCAATGTCCATTCTCGAGTCACGACCAGTATGCCTGCCCATCCGTACCAGAATGCATTACCCAAGTCCAGTTTCGTAAATGACAATAATCATTCGGAACGGCCATCAGCGCGTGTCAGCGCCTGCATAGCATTTATACTCGTACTCAATCTCTGGCCAAAAATTCGCCGCCCTGGATGTTCATTGTCCCCATTCTCGTGTACGAGGCTCCGAACGACTTTGTTCCCATATAGATTGACCGTCTGTCTGACCTGAGTCTAGCTCGCATGGAAGTGAATTGTATACGGGATACTGAAATCGCTCGTCCGGCTTCATCGAACCCTTTGTTCTCGGATAGTGGACCGATGTATACCACCTTGCTCTGCTCGGGACTTTGGTACAGACATGCTCTACTAGTAGCATGTGAATTTTTTGTTCCGTCTTTTCGCCGACAGACCTCACTGCTCACTTGTTGACTGAATGCCTGACTGGTCGGAACCGGTTCTGCACAAAGATCTTTCAATTCATGTCAGGGAGCGCCCAGAGCATATGGATTACCCTATTCCTTTGCTGGAGTCTGTTGGGTCTGGGAAACCCTGTTTCGGGAAGTTTTACAGTGAGCGCTCAGGCCATGACCTTTGGCGTCGTCCTAATCATATATTCTTTTCAGAACAGTTGGAAATCGTAGCGTCCGGAAGTTCTGCAGATTCATGTTAAACATTGGGTGGGCTCGAAGTAATACTGCTGAGTGAGATTGATTATCAATCCCGTGCATAAATAATCTCACCTCTCTCGAAAGAATACGCGTGGAGTAGACCCCATTTGAAAGCGACTCCGACATCCAAGGGAACTTCCCGTTCTGTGACGTCACTATTTCTGCTAGCTACCGTCCGTGATGATTATCCCTTCGATATCTACTGCAACCATCCCGTGAATGACCGCTTTACGTCGGTCCTTACTGCACTGCACATATGTTATTGAGGATCTAATTTTAACTGAGGGAATGCGGATCCCGCAGAAGCTGGAGCCCCAGATGGTACATAGTACTATTACGTGCCGATATTCAGCGGTGAGCTGACCGTGCCCTGTTTTTCAATTGCATTCAACAATCAATTGCAGACGAATATTTTCGTTGCCAATGATCCTGGTTGCTAATTCGCCATTTTCGGGTTTGCTGACGGCGGAATTTCAAGCCCGGTTAGCTCGTCTATGGCACACCAAAAATCGCTTCGTGGTTAACTTCCCGGTCTACGGACTCACTGTTTTAGCCACCATCTCCTTGATATCTCCCGGTAAGAAAGTTGGTATCAAACGTGAGATTTTCAGAGACTCAAACCGATTATCAGAGCAATCTTAGGATGGACTGGGCCTTACTTCGTCCCAACGAAGCATCGACGATCTCTAAACAACCAATATTTACGTCGCTACAGTCGACCGCGTTATATTTGGACAGCAATGATGGCGCGTGTTGTCACCGCCGGGTTCGTCCATTATCTAACAAATGAATTGTTGGACATTCCACGCGCGCGATCTGATAAGACAAGCGCAGCTCGCCCAAACGCAGGAATGTAACCGTTATGAAACTGTAAGTGGTTCATTATGCTTTGGTAAGAGAGATTTTTACTATCATTCACATAAGGTGTTCATGTGGGAGCCAATATGCTGAGTGTCATTCCGTTGCGGTGGTGAACACTGAAAGCATCTCATTCGTGCACTAGTTTACTATTCCCAAGGATGGAGAGATGATATCATGATGGTCTTTTAACTCTTCCCACTATCCCGTTCTTATGCCATACCTAAAGGCGGACGACTCTAAGCCAAGGCGAAAGCCGAGCTCCGCGTGATAGATCGAAAGGGAATGCGATAGCGCCGATCCTGCTGATTTCGATATACAACTGCTGTCATCGCGGGATAATAGGACCGCCCCTGCCCCGGAATTCTAAGCCATCCATATGGCAGGGTTTGAGACAAAGTCGCAACAATATGTAATAGGACAGGCCCGCCCCCTGACAGATAGCTATTACCAGGGCCGCTCTACAACAAGTCGACATCAAAGCACGGGATGTGCTGCCGACGCCGCAACTGCTCTGTGGTGGACGTGATCCACATAACGTAGATCCATATGGATTCGACGGGAGGCCGCTCAGAGCCAAAGCGCCTGCAACCGAATCGTTCCGGGAGGCATTTTATCATCTCGGAACTGCCCTTATTTTCGTTGTTCTTCGTTAACAATGCTGCGCCTTATTCTGGCACAGTTAAACGAGGGTTGCTGCGAAGGTATTGCCCCCATAAAACCTCTTCTTGAGGACGAAAAGTGGAAGACAGTGTCAAGTCGGGCAGTCCAAAACGCGGCATGCGACCCGAAGTTCCCTCTATGCCCGTGTGCCCTTGTCGTCGGATCTGTGAGGGGAAAGCTAAATTGGCACAGTGATCGACAATGCTGCTCATCATTTCGTCGCTGCAGGCCGTTGGATAAATGGTCCCTCAAGTCTGTCGCAGCCACGGGGGCCATCGCGGTCACAACAGCTGCGAAGACAAGTGGCACGATCACCCAGTTATGCCTTTATCTTCCCCGTGAAGTAAAGAGCATCGTTGACGTTTCCGCGACGGCTTTGGATATGAACCGTCTCGCGTCCACTTGGCTACCTCTCGATGAAGCAATCCGAATCAGGCTCCGTACCCGAAACAAACGCTGTGAAATCGTCATTTCCTAGGCGCTCAATCTTACGTCTACTACGGTTTTTTGTAGGGTGCGTGTCATTTGGATGCCAAAAAAAAAAAAAGATGGGCACAGTGAACGGGAGCAGACTGCATATACGATGGTTAACTGGCAACAAAACATCATTCCTGGCACGGTTCCAGGCTTAGCAAGACTTGCGTCACGAAGGTGGGTGTCTGATCAGTGGGGAATGTCCGCGGCCCATCGATATCGGGAGCAAGACGTTGCGGGAAAAGCTTGTATCTCAATTGCTTCGACTTCATAGAGTCGGGATGTGATCGAAATGGAGGGCAGATCGGCTCGGTACGTTCTGCGTCCCTGCCGTCACCCTGTGTTTCTGAACGTCCTATAGTTGCAGCTTCGCTCAAGAACGATAAAAGTTTAGAACTGGAAAGTCAAAAATTGTTTAGAAATCTCTTTCTGCGTTTAACAAAACCACTTATACCCATTGTCAACAAGCCTGCTGGGAAGACATCAGGGCGAGGTAACGCGTGGTGTGCGTCAGGGCAGTTCGGCATCATGTAGCCGTCCGCACTGCTATGTGTCACTGAACGAGAGCTCATGGCAGCCTAGTACATGAAGCGAATGGAAAGAGACAGAGATCTTCCCTGCTAAGCAGGTTCTGGATGTTCATTGGCAGCGGTCATTGGAATGACTGATGATGCGGACTCATAGGAAGCGTGATCGCGTCAACGTCAGAGTGTAACCTCTTCTTGCGTTCCTTTGCAGGGATGGCACGCCATGTTGTTCACACGACGGGCTGATACTGACGCTGATGGATTCCCAAGCACTGTTATATTCATTATACGCAAATCCCCCCTTGATCTTCCGGGACCCGGACCGTTGCTTTCATCAACCGCATTATGGTAGCGCTGGGTGAGAATGCCTGATGTTAATAACATACCTAGTAAATCACATGAAAATAACATGTATGTAACGTTAAAAACATTGGAGGGTCCCAGCGGTGGTGTGAAATTCTGTGAGAAACTCCGGTTGGATGAGCCTATAGAACGGCCTCTTCCAAGGCTCCAAGCATCGTCCGTCACTAAGATGACTACTTCTAGGTGGTGTGCTTGTTGTCGTACACCATGATAGATTTCGATCTCCCTTTGATTTACCTTGTATTCATACATCTATGGTCATTTCTGACCGCATAGCAAAATAACATGAAAATCACGCATTTTAACATGTTATTTACGTGTTAAAAACAAAAAAAAAATCCACGCTGCGCGTGATGACGTCATGGGAAACTCACAGTTATTTACATGTGAGGATGAACCTCACATGGGGGTGCAACCATTGTCACGTTAAATACTTCGCCGAAAAGCATTCTCACTCAGCGCTACATTATGGGCTACGACTATCAGCTGATGTGTCTTTGTTGTAGCTTGCTGGTCCCTGGACCTGATTCGCTAGCGTCGTAGCTCAAGAAGTATCCCCGTGTTATGGTTGTGGAAGAGGTCCTTAAAGTGATCCTTCGATGAATATCATGTCAAGGATCAAGACGCCGAGCCGGGAAATTCAAGAGCAATGGTAAGACAGCACGAACGTTTAGGTGCACGCCTTCTCCCGGTCACTGGCTCGTCTACTGGCTTGGTCTGTTTCTCGTATTCAATAGTATATCGTTCGCCCGAAGATCTCATTCTGCACCCACGCTCCCTCAATCCGATCAAGACTGAACTTGAACTAGGGTTCCGTCGATGTCATGTTGATCAAAACATTTGGGAATTCTAGAGCTTGTGGAAGCGTCGCAGGGTATACGTCGCGTAAGTGAAATATACACCTGGCGAGTTGATATTCATTGTTGCATAGACACATATAATGTATTGCACGATAGGCGGACATCTGTGATGATATCAAATTCATCTCGAACAGTTTCAATATGTTTGCTGGGATCACCAGCAGTTGGATTGATGGTAGTTATCGTGTGTCTGAGCTACAGCCGCTCGGATAGCGTCATGTGGAACGAACATGGTTCTGTGCGTCCATCTTCAAGGTTCTATGAAGGCTGGGCCCCTACTGAACAATTTGTACACAAGCGACGGGCATCGAAGAGTGCTATGTTCATCTGTATTTCAGCAACTTTGGTACCGCACACCTTCTGTATGCCTGTTCCCATCACATGACTTACGTCTTGTTGGTGCTTTCACTACCAGTGGGTTACCTTCAAAATGAAACTACTTGTGGAATGTCCTGACTTGCTCTTGAGTCTTGAAGCTTGAATTCCTGTGCCTCGCCTCATTTTCGTGCGCGATCGAGAACTCGCTTTTTTCCCCCATTACTATTAGGTTTTTACGTCCTGTCGGAGCGGCTACAGGACACTTTGAAGTGCGCCATGCACATTGTGAAATTGACTGCTGAAGAATGTCGCAAATATTCTTAAAGGTTTGGCTCGTTGCTCCTCTGCAATGCATGGGTGTGAGTGTTTCTGCTGGAGCAGAACTACAGCTTTATAGTTTTAAACATTTGCCATTGTTGTTGGCTATGGTGCAGTGATGGTGTTGTTGTCGTTATTCACGAATAATCTTTGCTGTATGCTTTAGGTTCGAGTCCCTTCATGCGGATCGTTTGGGCGCTAATTTCGTTTTGAGTTCGATGAGCCAACTAACACTGACTCAGCATTTACATTTTGTTTTGCTGCCAGTTTTGCTACCTCTGCATTCTCAGTTATGTTACTATGTAACACGTAAATCAAGGCTTAGGCAGACTATGATCGGGATCCTGGACAGTGGGCGTCCTTCGGACGTCTGTGAACTGCTAAAAATCACTCTATCAGCACCGTTTGGGAGGTTCACTTCTCGGCGATGGAGGTTTTTTTGATTGTCTCTAATGTTTTGTCGACATGACTACAACCCCTTCAAAGAAATTCTGATCTTCGCCTTTTGCTTGCAATTGACCTCGATGCGAATACACTTCTATACACTTCAATCACTTTCTAATTATGCTTCAAAGACCGGTAGGGAGTTCAGGGAGCGGGAAGTCCTTTTCCATATGCTCGGTATAATAACGCCAATGTACCGTCTTTCCCACGTCGGAGATCTCCTGCACTTCTTCTGGATTGAGCAGTCCTTCTGGGAGATAGGAAATCTCGGCAAGACGGCGAATGCGGCCTTTGTTTCCAGATGCAGTTACAGCGACCACGCCCATAGCTCGGACCCATAGGAGAAGCACCGCGGAGGGGTCGAAAGGTGCAGAGATAAAACCCGGGTCGACCGCGGAGGAGGCTTTGATCTAAAGCAGTAATCTTCAGATAATGGGGGCTGATATGAATGAAGACCAACAAACCAGAGACGCGTTGTCCTTGTTCAAACGCTGTGCGATCCGCATCAGGATGGGCTGCAGAGGTCCACCTGTGGGATGACGAATGGCCGGGGTAAGAGGACCATAGGCTTCCGTGACGATGCCGTGTTCCTTCTGGATAGCAAGGACGGGCTCGAGATGGGCAAGCACGTAAGGATGGTACTCAAGCTAAAGGTCGGATGGTAAATTGACAGAAAGCATATATGAACTAATTACGCGAACCTGATTAACGACAGGCTTGTGACGGGCGCCTTCGAGAACGACCTTGAGATCCTGGGGACGGAAATTACTAACTCCAATGCTCCTTAGCTTTCCTTCATCCTTGAGATCCTCAAGAATTTGCCACAACTTTTTGAGAGACACGTCTTGGTCCTCGGCAACGTAGGGATTGTGGATGAGGAAGAGATCGGGAATAAAGCCAAGTTTAGTGAGAGACTCGTCGATGGATGCACGAACTTCGGTGAGGGGAACAGGAACGTTCTCTGTGCCCTTGGAATCAGGCGGCGGCGGGCGTTCGGAGACTATGCGCGTCAGTAAGTGTGAATAGGATATGTCTAGAAAGCCTACTCTTGCTGGTAACCCAGATAGCCTCTTTCCCGACACCAGATTTCGCGATGACCTCGCCCGTATTGGCTTCATTGCGATAATTCTGAGCGGTGTCGATGTGGCGGATCCCAACGCGTAGGGCTTCGCTGCCCGACTCGAGGGCGGTTTTCTTTGCATCACCAGAGCCATTTCCCCAGCCTAGCCAGGGAATCTGGGCACCATCGAGGAGGGTAATTTTACGGCGGAGCGACGGCGACGATGACGACGATGGCGACGACGATGACTGCGAGGGAGGCTGAGGCATAGGTGGTATCGACATGGTGGTTTGGTAATAAAGGGAATTACATCATTGATGGTAACACGCGTTGACTACCAACTTCAAAACTGAGTGAGGGACTGTCACAATTAGCGGAAGTTTCCTATGTCTATCGATGCTATAGTCTGTTCCCTTCCAAAAGCGAAGTCAGATGGCAGAGTTGCTCTGTGTTAAAACCAGGCGCAGGCGAAGTAGAATATGAGTTGTGAAGACAGTCATACATTGCAACGGACACGGCTAAACTCTCGGGATGTGCAGGGAGTCCCGTTAAACTGGTGACCGGGACCGTCCCTTTGGGGTCGTCTTACTTGCAATGTCCTGATCCAGAGACACGGTTACGAGTCCAGCTTTCACGCGTCTTGGAAGCAATAAATACTATTCCTCATTCGATGTCGCTTCTGCCTTCTACCGCCATGTGCCGTAGGTGATCTTGTCATATTATATTGGCTCGCTAGTTTACTGGGTCCGATCGCCGAGAACAGTGCGTCTAAACTTGCGAAAGAGGCGAGCAAAGACTGCGGTTCAACACGGATGATGTAGAAGCTTGCCCATATGTTACAACCAAAATCGCCTAATACGTATCGCCCATCCACCCAACAACAGCGTCTCTCCCTTGGGCCGTCTGTTTGTCCGTCACGGAGTATGTTGCCATTACACGCTCCGTCGCGAGCTCGTCAATAAGCCTCAAGTTCTTCGGAGGCGCCGTCCCTGAAGTTGAAGGGAGAGAAGGGTTTGCCAGTAGTCGACGGGCACACTGACCACCAATGAGTCTAGATTCCCCGGAACTGAAACTGAGAACTTACCAGTTTGACGCCCCACCACGCCCGAATGCTGATCCCTGCCGCGGCAGTCTCATGCGGAGACGACACATCTCGTTCTGTCATGTCCACTACGACCAGACACATCTTGATCGCCAAGGGTATGTCACCGGCAGTATATGCAGTTTCTGCAAAACGCAGGAAGTGAAAAGGGTTTTGAGGAGCGAGAAGGAGAACGTGAGAGAGTGCTTGAAGAGATTGTGTATATCTGACCCGGTAATGAGACTTCATGAAGCAGAACGGAAAGGGTAACGCACTGATTGCATGACGAGTATATGTCCGCAAGCTCCAACCAACCCTCAATATCATTGTAGAAGGTGTCCAGGTAGGTACAGAGCTCGTCGACGGTCTTTTCAATCTTGTCAGTTCGTTTCCTGAGAGATATCCGGCGTTTCCAGATTGCCTGTGGTATCGTCAGCTAATACCCACAAGCATAGCTCGACCACGTACGGCATTAGCAGAGTCCTCCGCGAGCAGTTCATCATAGAATTTCATAACAGTCTCCGGTGACTGCGTCGCCTCCATTCGTATGCCAGTGAGTACGCTCACTCGAGGAGAACCAGGGAACTTGTCAGATAGTTGTGTTAAGCATTCCTGTCTTTACTGTTAGTGAAGAATGAGGATGCTAAGAGAAACCGGTAAACATACGTCCGCCACGTCCAACCGTCCTATATCTATCGCCGCGAGCGCAAGCTGCTCTAGGAATGCCCATGCTGGAAGGACGTGAAAACACGTTCCGATGGAAATTGAAGAAAGGTAATCACCATCATCACCCAGCTTCCGCGCTCCGTTCGACTTGAGAACAATAGAGCCCTTGTCCACGACATCCTGCGATGCTCGTGTATTGTGAGCACGATAGTTGGCCAACGTCTTGAGCGCCGAGGATAGGGACATGATGGTCGGAATAAAGAGAGTTAGTGACGGCTGTTTATATCATGCTCCCTCTCTGATCGTCACCCTCATCGGTGCACCTTGCAGCTCCCTGACTATTTCTCTCCCTTTCTCTCTGCATGGATTCGACTAGTTCCTCAGCGACGCTTTCAACAGGATCAAGGTTTCAAAATTGTGTGACTAGCAATCTGGAATCGTAGTCATTCTGGCGGGGTCTGTCTATAGCAGTTGGGCTGCTAGCCTTGGTGAGTTCAGTTTTCATATCGCGAGCAAGGACGAAACCAAGCACCCTGCCTGACTATATGCGCGTTCTGTGTTTCTACCCTGGTGTAGTAACCGCTCGTTGGATGAGGGTAGTATAATTTGCAACCGGAGCTCTTTCGCTTTTCTGCCTATTCCACGTGCTCAGAGCTAACGCGTTCCCTTTTTATGTAGGGATTATTATCTCGACGGACAGCGTATCCTATGTCAATCGCATACAACCGTTTATCAGAGAAACTGACCACTCCACTATTCCCGGACCAGAATGTGTCGGCAACCTTTTTCCCATAGGTCATCTGTTATAAGGCCTGCCATCCGCTGACACAAAGAATGGCGCTCGCCATGCTCCGTCGTCATCCAACGGTTACCGTGTTGTGTTCAAAGTCTCCATTGAGTTCGGTGCGTCTGCTTTGAGCTATGCCAGAGGCATCAATCTATCTTACGCTGGTACCAACACTAACACATCCACATTGAACACTGATGCCCGTATCTATGTGACTCTGTGCGTCTTGTTCTTGAATTAACCTCGTCAAAGCTGATCTCCTTGCAGTTTTTGCCTTGATATATACAATAGATGACCTGCATACACCCCTCGTGTGACTCACGTCAACATGTTATATCGGCAATGCTGGCTGCCATTTATTGTCACCTTCGAAGCGAGCTACATGATAATTCTATATGATAGGATGACCAGCTATCGCAGAAACAGTTAGTTCGAAACTAAATCACCATGGATGCCGAATGCGTTTGTGGTTCTGTTCGACAGAAAAATCGATCCGAAAAGCGACACGATTTGATAGGATGACCGAAACTGTCTACCCACGCAATATATGATGGTGGTATCTGCGGGAAACGCGGGAGTACCAAGAACAACCGCACACCACGAATTGAGCTGCTTTGGCTATCTGGGGATGTCCATGATCCACCAGAGGAAGATTGGGTCTTTTCTTCTAACTGGTTTTGGGGCCTGTATCGAGTATTTTGCGCCTGATGCATCTCTGTCTTGAGGTATGTGCAACCTTAAACCTTTTTCTGGCCATTCTTACACCTCATCGTACAGGTATCTAGTTTGGGGCCAAGGACGCATCCCTCCCCGAATACACGGGAACCTATTCAACTTAACGTCACTGACCCTGTAATGCCACTAGTTTAGATACCCATGCGTGTTAACATATGGGGTTAACTCCATGATCGACGTCGAGGAGAAAATCTTCATAAACGGCGAAGAGCAAAACGTATCCTTCCCATCCTCTAATTCTTCGCATCGCCATGCCTGAAAAGTTTGACGATACGTTCGGGTGCATGTTCATCTCGTTCTCACTTGACCTGATGTGCGTCTTTATTCGTGCTGCTGTCATAAATATCAGACTTTAATTCTCCCCCCCCAACAGGTGCTATGGTGCCGGCTTCGTGGGTTGCACTTGTTGACGATAAGTCGGACCAGCTTTCTAAGTAAACTACTAGCTCGCCGTCCTGCAATACTTCCGCCATGGTTATGGTTCCAAGGACTCTGTCGCAATCAAGGCCATGGTCCTAACACTAGGGTACGAGTCATGGCCTTCATATGGGTTGCTTTAATGATAGATTTTGCCAGATTTCTAGCTACCGTTCATGTCGCTACATTTATTGCATGGGCCTATGATGACCTCATTAGTCGGTTCGGAGCGTTCGAAAAGCTCGATGATATGCCACGGTTGGTTTTGTTGCTTTGTCACTCAAAATGACACACTCTCAGCATTTCCTAGGACCGCGCTTGTAAGCACTTCACTTTTCATCAAATCGTGATGCTCATCTCCACGGCAGGTACAACTTCTAGCGATCGTAAGTTTATTCCAACTCGCTTTGATGCTGACTTACATTTTATTTATCAAGTATATGGTCTCCTTCATTTCTCAATGGTAACCTGGTGTTCACTTGCGGCGATCGTGTAACTGACAGATGATCGACCCGTAGCTTTTTCACCACACGCATCTGGATTCGTGAGTTGCGCAATCATGTCCCCGATAATTCAATCATTGAATACTCTTCTAGTCACGCATAAGTGGTATTTGGCAGGCCCGATTGTACGTTTTTTCTTGTAGTCAGCCACACGTACAAATCGAATTGACGAAACCTAGGCGATCTTGGCTCTGATTAATATCAGTACGTCAGATTTGTTTTTTTACTCGCGAGGCTGGCGCCCTGATTTTGCTTTGAATTTCGAAATTAGTTGCTGGAATCAGTGTGTACTTTCCTTTCACTGCGCGGACTCCAGTTAATGTGTATCCCGTTAGCCCAAACGACGCTAAGGTTCTTCTTCGAAACATCGTTCTAGTCGTCACCACTCTGACCGCTTCTCCCATAGCGGAATCGGTGGCACATTCAGCAATCTCATAAACACTGAGGTGTGTCTCTGTTAATGTGATAAAAGGACCTCAATAGATCAGACATAGAAAGTAACAAGTCTACAAGCGTCTGCCACAGCAGCATGCGATCTGTTGATCACGGCAACTTTATGTTGGATTTTGAATAAGAAACGGACAGGAATTAAGACGTGAATTCACTGTTTTATTCAAGCGATCTGTCTTTTTGACATATTCACGAAATAGGACCGATACTCTGCTCGACAATCTCATCATTCTGGCAATCAATCGTGGTGCCGTCACAAGTCTTGCAGCACTGTTCAACTTAATACTGGTATGTCATTATTTATCTAGGCAACTTGTTTCGCCGGATTTCATGTTTTGTAGTTTGTATGGCGTCTTGGGGCGATGATCTTGTGAGTGCGAATAATGTCACCTAGCAGGAAGTGAGGTGCTCATTCTTTGATAAGTATGATACCCCTTCTTCCTAGTTGTCAATGTAAGTTAACCTATCGGCCCAAATTTTCTCCCCGAGTCTCATCTGTCCGGTTACAGTCTATGTACTCTCAGTCGTCGGAAGGTGTGCCTGATTCCGTATTTTTTATCCTACTCTGACATGGGCGGTACGCTCTCAGTCTTAATTCCCGTAGGAGTTTGCGCGACGATGGCCGAGATGCTGTAACACTCCCACTCGAACCAATGTCCGGAAGCGAAAGTAGTACTGGGGGACCGGGAGGTGTTCAAGTGGTACGTAACCTTTGTCCAATATCTTTCCGGCACTGAAGATCGTCTTAGTCAACGTCAGTCGTGAGCTGGAAGGATGGATCCCAGTTTGGTTCGCATAAGGTACGCTGGACTGCGCTATTGTCTCGAGCACACATCTCATTGAACATCAGGACACCGGTACCGGTATTGACAAATACCTTCCGTCCTCGGTGTCTGTGTAATCACGGAATCCCGAGCATCAAAAATAGTCTGTGCAAAAATGCTACGTAAATGGTTGTATGTTTATCTAGACTGCTTTGGGATTTTGCGTGGAAATCTTCTTCAAAATGCAGACGACATAGATTCCTTGGCTCAGCATCCCTATTTCCCCCGCTTGCCCTCGCGGGGTGACCGGTTAGTCGGTCAGTTCAAGGCTGTACCAATAACCCCGTTGACAATAGGTGGGCATGACTTCTTCGAAGATGAAACTTTTCATGGATGACAAGTGAGTCTTGATGGAGACTATTATACAAGAACTTTCGCGTCATCGGAGACCCATATTATGAACGCAAGATGTCACTTGACGATCACTATCCGAAGTACTGGTAAACATCTGGGATTCTCGTATGCACCGTTTTTTAACCGACAAAGACCACTGCGACTCAATCGGCCCTGGAATAAGACAACCTTAGGTGTACTTCAGCGCCTCTTGGTCTATGTATGATTCGTCCTCGCCTCATCACAGCTCTTAATCTTGCTGTTGACATATTATTGAAGCAGACTGATCGTTGGCTATTCATTTGAGAGGTGATTTCTCGTTGATCTAATGTCATGGTTATCGGCAACTTTTCAAATGCGAAGGAGCGAGAGTCCCCTTTGTTGCAGGTGACGCCCTTGCTTGGGTCATTTTCAGCGATAACATTGACACAGTTACTTGTAACGGAGATCTGCCCACGAGAATGCTCCCGTTCCATGTTGTCACCGTTTCCATTCAACCTCCGAGTCTCTGGGGTAGGGTTGACTGAATGGAGGACATCAGCTGATCACTTTCACTTGCGCGCCATTCCCGCGCGACCTCGGCCCGTATACACGCTTGTAGCTCCGCGTTCCGGGAATACATGTCCTCTTAGACCACTAATCATATGTTCTATTGCTAGCGATAAGCATACACATTCTCTCATGATGATCAGCCGAACGTTGGGAGCTAGTAAGTTCTTTTTAAAGCCTTCAGACTACCACAGATCAGGCCTTTCCGATTTTCGAATTTTCGAATTACGTCCGCTGACAACGCCGCCTTGGCGCATACTCACACACAGGCTATAGCCTCTTCTATAAGTATCTAACCGGACTCACTGCTTCGTTCTCCCTCTCCCCCGCCCTCAATCTTCAGTCACTTTCGACGCTACTAATTCAAGCCCAGCAGTATGACTGAATCTCAGGTATTCAGGTGCTCTTTGAGTTTTCAGGGTACATCTTGATATTCTCGTCATTTCTAGTCGTATTGGGCTGCGTGAGCTGTTCCTGTGTGGTTGGCTGGCCTATTCACCGATATCATTGTCCCAGATTCACCCTCCAAACCTACAATTGCGCCTATGCAGTTATGGTATGTCTTTATTCCGATGGTTGAATACCACTCAAAGTCAGGAAGATTTGGGATACTTTGTTGACTCTATCCGAAGAGAAACGAAAGTACGTTCCTAAGGGCTAAGATTTACGTTCGTGTTTCTTATACTCACTGGCAGGGTTTGGGATCGAGAATGGAGTCCAGCGGTCAGATTTTACTCTTTAACCACTACGAATACTCGTCTAATGACTTGGCGTTTCACAGAAAGTCATATTCTTCTTCAAGTAGGCATTAACTCAGAGCTCTGTATCCTGCTAACAATCTATTCTATAGCCGTTATTATGGTGTAAGGTCCCACGTTGTATGCAGTGGCTCCGCCATTAATATTAAGTACATCTAGCTGGCGTCGATCACAATGAATTTATGGTACGTTCATACGACTACTTCGTGGTTAAGGGGAAAACATGTAGCGAATAATTGCAGTTTCTATAACATACAAGTCAGCACTGAAGAGTGCGCCAAGTATGTGAAAGCGGAGCCGTTGCTTGGTAGTACGTAACCTTCTCGTCGCAGTTTCATTGTACTGAATCCGTCACAGACTTCGCTATTCTATCTTATCAGAGCATCCTTCTGCTTCGGTGCGCGCCCTTGCAAACATCGTTTATGTCGCTGTTGTGACCGACGACGATAACAGCTGTTATGCTGTCTGGTTACGAGACAAGAGAATTTTATTCGGTGGAATAGCCATTTTGGTCTGCCAGTTCGTGGAGGCCATGTACGCGATTTCTGGTTTCGTAGGTGACGAAGCTTTCAGATGAAGTCTATTGTACTCAATCGTTCTCTAGTTCCCTCTTCCAATAACGTCAGTAGCGCATATTCTTCCTGGTTTCTGCCTTCTCGTTCTAACACCAACCTTTTCAGAACTGAAACAGGACCGTGTGGTACGTTTGACGTTATAAAATTATTCAGCCTTATGAATCTGAGTCTTGGCAGTTGTTCAAGGGCAGAAATTGTACGTCAGATCTCTCAAACGGAATCATCTACTCATCACTATCACATGCATCTAGCTGGATTGCGAGCGTCTTCCTCTTCCCCACCCTAACCGACACGGTACGTCGTCTAAAGATTCATATGGGAATACTTCAATTCATCTCAACGCGTCCAGATCCTGACCGTGGTTACCTTCGCTCGGGTACTGTACATCGTCCCAAAGACGAGGTCCTCCGTAATATCACGGTTCTTGAAAGAAGGGTTCCTCTTTTGTGGGTCTGCCGGTATCCGATTCTATCTGGTGATTTGTTGACTTCGTTCAATAGTCCTTATTGTCTTCGGTACTCGGACTTTCGCTTCTCGGTCCGAAGATTTTCTCACCTCTTTGTAGTTGGCAACTGTGCAAACGGTATACTATATCTCCAGGTGAGCTGCTCGCATGTAACGGACGGCTTGAGATTACTGAGCAACGATATAGGCGAATAAGGACATATCCACGATTTTTAGCGGGTTTGCCATAGTAAGCCTTTCCCTCTCGGTTGTTTTCTATTTATCAGGGTGTCTCCCTTTAAGATCTCCGGTAACGTCTGTGGAAACCATCTTCTTCTTGGCGCTCGGCACGACGGTTCAGGTGCTTATGATGACATACGTACAATTTACATGACTGACTTTGGAGACAGCGGCCTCTACGTCGGACTTTGCCCCCGGGACTGGCCCTGGCCATGATCGCGGTGTATGGCCTGGATCTGGGGTTCTTGTTCATACGACTGTGGACGTCGCATTGAGCGACTTGCCCACTAACAAGAGATTGGAGGATCTGGAGCGTACGGAGAGCCTTCGGAAGTAGCATTGTGCAAGTCGACTCTGTTCATAAGCCTTCTTCACGTTGAGCTTGAAGTTTGAGAATGCGGTATGCGGTTGGAGTCAATAAACAATGCGATTGAAACTGCCAAACACTGAAAATACTCTATAGCAAGCACATACTAAGCAGAACAGACAACAACAGACAGAAGGGCACTGTAGTACATATTTAGTTGCATCAGATATCCAAAAACCAAAGCCGGTCGACCCCAAAGCATTCCCGTCTTCCCATCAACTCTAACCAACCCTACGTTGGTTTATAATAGATCGTGGTCAGGAATTTGTTCCTGTAACGCACTGTCCCACTCACAGCGAGCACCCCGTTTCGAATGGAACTCGTCGACAAGTGATTCAGGACGACATGCGAAGGAACGGGAAGAACAGATGTATCGTCGACGATAACTGTATCATCGTCGATGACACTGGGTGTCGGATTGTTGAGATTTGGTGATGAGCTCGACAGTGGGTTTCTTTGAGGCGTCGCCGGTGTATGCGTTGACGGTGTGAATCCACCCCCGGTGCCAAACACATTATTGATGTCCGTCCCACTTGCAGTCGTCACAGGTAGAACTCTCCCTTCGACCCCAGAAGCTGGCGTACCCTCACTAGAGCTACCCCGTCTCTGCCCATGGGTTCCGTGTCTACCCCTTGACCTCTTGCCCTCCTTCCCACTTGATGAACTCGACTGACTCTGACCACTTGCCGTATTCAAAATGAGCTTCTCCAAATGACGAGGCAAAGGCGGGGCGGGAGGGATGTTCGGGGCGGGTATAAATCCATTCACCACCTTTCGTCCTCCCTGGGTCGTCGACGTCGTATGGTGAGCATTGAGGTAGGCGTCCTCCTCAGCAGCGGCCTCAGTGAGCTCGAGGGGAATAACATTTGTCCAGGATGGAGGAGGAAGAGCAGGAGTATGAGTGCTGGGTGAGGAATTCGAACCGCCGGTTGTCGTGCTCCAAAAGCTGTGGCTACGTTTCGGCGGAGAAGGATCGAGCTGAGCCGGTGGTGGACTCGACAAGCCGACGCTGACATAATTGGCCAGTGAACCCTGGTCATCGACAGCTTGGGGCAAGTCATCAGCTACACGCCATTGCTCGTCCACCAAGAACCGCATATGATGCGTCCCAGGCTGTAGCTGCAAGTCAACAGTCCATCTTTTGCCATCATCACCAGCCATTTTTCGCATCGGTATTTGTGTCTTCCAGTCATCATCACCTGCACGCGAGAGGAAGACTCTCGTGCCGCCACCGGTCCAGATGATAGGTACAGAGATCATCTGAGCTGTGGTGTCGGTAGGCGAAATAGCAGCCTCTACAACAAGCGGCAAGGGCAGGGTGCTGCGTACGATCTGCTGCTGATACGGTTCGTCCCGCTCTGGTGGAGTGTGAGGGGCATCAACGAGCGACGATGGCGGTACAGTCGGTGGAAGGTAGCTCGTTTGCCGTGACCAAGGCTCCTCGGGTCCGCTCGTAGCCTTGGAGTCCAATCCGCTCTGCTGCCGCCTAGCTCTGGGCCTTTCCCTCTCCTTCTCTTTCTCTGTTGTTGGTATCGGTATACTCGCGGTGGCAGCGGGTCTCCGCGGGGTAATGTCTAGCTGTAGATCAGGCAGTTCTAGAGACCGTTTCTTGTGTCTGAGTGACCGATGGGGTTGGTTAGGCGTTGGTGACGGTGATGAACGTTGCTGGAATCGAGTAGCAGACGAATTGCGGTCACGGTCTTGCTGATTGTTAGAAGGCGTGTTGCCCATCGTTGTAATAGGAGACCCGCTGCGTGGTGGGAAGAGACAGAAGCGAGGCACGTCTGTGCGGAGCTCACAAATATGTGCTGAGACTTCTACCGAATTTTTGAAAGATTGCTAAGTCCGATATGGTGTAACGGCTAACATTGCCGCCTTTCACGCGGCAGCTCGGGGTTCGATTCCCCGTGTCGGAATGTATTTTTAAGGAACACCTGAGAGACTCGAGAGCTTCAACTTTCAAGTGCACTGAGCACTGTCCCTGATAGTAAACTCTGCCATGTACCTAGGTAATTGATTTTGATTTGTTGAGTCAGAAATCAAAACATACACTCGCAAGGCCCCCAGGTCCCACCCTGCCTGGGCTCCTTAAGACTTACATCGAAAGTGTACATGTAGCATGAACGGTTAATCCCCCAGAGGAGAGAAGCATTCTCTGTGGCATTGTAAGTATCATCTATAGCACGCCACCTCCGTAATACGCGTCGGTAGCGTTGTGCCTTTGCTATCTATAGCAGCAAATTGCCAATCGGCGCATCGCTCTCGTTACAGAAAGGAAAAGGGACGACGATCGAGCTTCCTTAGTAGTGTACACTTTTCAAAAACTAAGTATGTTAAGTATGGTATCAGCAGAGGTCGGTCGACAACGGCGGCGTTCCACCACAGCTTCCCCCTTCGGCAAGGACCGAGGTGTTCCCGGAAGTAGTGACTGCCTCCTATGAAAAGTACGTCAAATCAGCAGCTTCGCAAACCATAATACAACATACATAGCTCCTGGTTGTTACCGCGCTTGACGGGCCGAGTTCTTGCCTCATGACAAGCCATCTAATTCAATATCCACCGTCGTATGAACAAGGACCCCTGGTCTGGTTAACGTCCCATGTCCACGACTGCTACCGGCACGACGAGGCGACCCAGAACCCCCAGAGTCCGCTGTTGTGATATCGGTCAATGCACATGAACTATGCCGCTCTACACACCTGAACCGTCGTGCCGAGCTGCAAGTATTAGATGGTTTCCACAGACGTTTCCGAAAATCTGGCGCTCAATTGAGAAAAATATTCTTTTGGCAGACAAGGGAGCCTACTATTGCGAATCCGCTGAATATCGTAGATATAGCTCTGTTCGGCTGAAGTTATAACGGTTGGGTCACTATGCCTAGACTTGTGGGCAACCTACTCACCTGGAGATATAATATCCCATTAGCACAATTTCCAACTGAAAATGAGGTAAGAAGACGTTTGGACTGCTAGACGAAAGTGTGAATACTGAATACTATGAGGACTTTGGTCAAGATTAATAAGGTGTTATTGTTAATGAATCGACAGAGGACGCACAAAACAAAAAGCCTTCTCTCACAAACCGCGACATCACAGAGGACCTTGTTTTGGGGGTAATATAAAACACTCGGGCGAAGGTGATGACCGTTAAAACCTGGGAGCGATGAGATCGGCGAAAGGACATTTTAAAGACGCACAGTATCCGTGATAGTGGGGAACAAGAATACGCTTGCAACCCAACTACAGAGAACTATCAGAGAACGTTTCAATCAGGCCAAAACCACGCACAACTTCTCTCCCTGAACAACTGTAAACACCATCATTTTCAGCTCAGATGCTCCATAGCATTTAACGCACTGCATGGCCCAACTTCGCCCCTTCAAGCGCGTCAGAAGAATGTTCAAGGGGATGGACTTGGTACGAACGTGATGGGGAGGGGATACTACTTCCCTGATGAGTAGGTGTGAATGGGTGAAAACCGTCGAAAGCTCACAAATCGAGAACAGGCATACATGGCCTCCACAAACTGACAGATCAACATTGCGATACCACAGAATAAAATTCGCTTGTCGCGTAACCAGACCGCGTAGCAACTATGCGCCGCTTAATATTGATGATCGACATTGGCACTGACACGTACCGTAGCAACAGAATGCATTGATACGAGATAATCGTGAAGTCCATGAAAAAATCAGTCGGGGGATAACGACTTCTTAGAAGAGTATGGCATACTGGCAATCAACGGTTCGACCTTCACATACTTGGCGCATTCTTCGGTGGGGACTTGTATGTTATAGAAACTAGAATGATTAAGTTATAGTCTAACGCATCAGACTAGCAGTCACGTTAGCTTACCATAAATTCACTGTGATGGATGCGATCTAGAAGTAACAGGAATTCATGAACAAAGTGAGGATACACGGCACAAGAAATCGTACCCCATAATAACGGCTACAGACAATCGGTCAGCGGAAGTGCAACACTGTTCATCGATACGTGCTTGAACAAGAATATAACTTTCTGTTCCAAAATACATCAACGAGAATCATTGCAGATAGGTTAGTGCTGACCGCAGCGCTCCATTCTCGGTCCCATATTCTGTAGCACCAGATGTTATATAGCAAGAATTGATTCAGAGACGAATCGCGGAACTTACTTGCGTTTCTCCTTGGATAAAGTCAGAAGAGTATCCCACACCTTCAAGGGTCACGACTGTCAGCGATGTTCAAGCACGTTCAGATCCACCCACCATTATTGCGTAGGCGCAATTATAAGTTTGCAATGTGAAGCTTCGTCGAAAAGATGTGTACGCCACATACAACGAGGAACAAGTTGCTCACGAAGCCCAGTACGACTAATGTTGAAAATCAGAATTCGCTTCAGCAGCTTGCCTAAAGAACCCCGCCGTACCTGTGCGTCAGACATGGTGCCGGGATTGAATCAAAACTGGAACACGGAAGTCAGGGTGCTGAAAAGTAAGTGGTGGAGGCACATAGAGGAGCTAAGACGCTTATATGAGCCAGGGAAGGCGTTCACGTAGAAAACCAATTTGATAACAACAGGTGCATAAGCACACTACGCGTTGCAATCCGTGACATATATAGAAAGTTCGAAATGCAGGTTTGATGCAGAAGTCTGACTACGCAGTAGTGACAGTAGACCCTGAAATTTCTGGCCAACTTCAAGGGACTTATCGAATGGCCGCATCGTTTTTACCGCTGGAAAGATTGTTGCTAGAAATTGTTTACGGCGGTATCAGAACTTTCAGAGAGGACAAGTCCTTGCTCGTTCGGCATGCGCGCGCGGGATTCCCTGAGAAGGACAGGGTGCTGTCAGTGGCGAAAAGGAAGCAAAACACAGGCCAACCGGTGCGATATTTTGATCAAAGCAAACCTTAAACGCTTACACCTGCCAACTATTCATTTTTCTCATCATGACACGACCTCCGCTCTAGGAACAACACCCATTCCGGGAGCGCAAGGCTTCCTGTGAGAACGGCTCAAAAGCGACCAGATAACGTTACTAGGCTCATGTATCATTAATAGTACTTTGATATTAGACAATATTGATTGCACTTACTCTAACAGTCAAATGGAAGCAACAAGCCCCACAGTCAGTCGATTTATTTCGAAATATTTGGAGACGACACACAGTGACATGGGTGCTATACGGCTGCAAAAGGTGGTCTGCATTAGATTATTATCGAAATTTCTCGAGGTTCCATAAGAACACCTTTCATATTCCACGGGATACTTATGGGAGGAACACCGTGCGACAAGCACATTATTCCTACTACTGGCAGTGTGGAATTTTGGCAGCACACAAGACTCAGGAAGACCTGAAATTTGTATTGAAGGCCCCAAGCAGATGCTACTCTGTAGCAGTGACGCTGCGCCTCCAGTAGCTCGTCGTACGCCATGGTCTTTCATTGACGTGGTATCAGTTCCAGGTCAGTTTATCATGTCTGGCAGGATTCAGCTCACAGAATTGGCATACGTCTGGTCTTCTCTCTTGGCCATATCTGAGCTTCCGTGAGCTGCGTTGGCTCGTCGGTGAAGTTTACATCAATTAGATTGACGTTGTCATCACACTGAATAAGAGTAATGAGAACGGCCGCGTCTCTTCGCAATGGATACAAGTCAGGAACGTACGCCAGATTAGCAAGGAACATGAGACGGCATTCAGTGACATCTGAGATATGAGCGAAGGGAGTTACGACGGCAAGTCCTTGTGATCTTTACATGTGCTGCCATTGAATATCGACCGAGCATCGACAGAGGACTTTGGCCCAGACCAGTACGGTGTTTTGCTTCTTTCTCCGCTGCCAAGGTGGTGCGTAACTCCTGAGGGTCGTGAGCACAAGCAGTGCAAACCGAACCGTCCTTTTGTAAGTTTCGTATGCACTTCTCGTGGATCTGATGTGGTAGAATTCTGCGTTGCGATGTCGGACGATCACACCGTCCACACGCCAGCGGGGCAGATATCGCCTTGTTTGAAAACATGAGTCGAGCCCAGACATCTTCATCACTTAATAGAAAATTGAATGCACCCCTCTACAGCCTAGCCTCTTCTGCGTCAGGAATTCATTAATTATTACAGACACACCTCATTGACAATTTCAAGCACCTCCTCTCCTTCCTCCTCAGCTTGCACATCTCTGCCTGACACTAGAATCTCAACTACATCTAGTCTTGCCCTCATGCGCTCCTTATACCCCGTGGTGGTACTGGAGAATCCATGCGCTCGCAGTTCGACACGCTGTGCTATTTTTAGTATAGCACTCTGTTCCCATGGGCCCTTGCATAGTGCCCACGCTAATGCTCGGATGCACTTATGCCGTGCGGAAAACTACATTCCCGTGCAGGTGTGAAAAGAGCAAACAAACTGAGATTATCGATAACGTACATCAATTTTCTTAGAAAACGTTTCTTCCGGCTCGATTTCGAAGCAGAGCTCAGCACCGGGTTCGGGAGACGCTGTAATAAAAATTTGAGATGAGAGTCGGAGAATTGAAAGATATCAATGCCTACGCATCCGCTCCCGTTCGTAATGATGGACAATGGATTCTGATCTTGAACTCTCCTGTGTGTCGATATCTGCACCCGGCACCTCCTCCGACTCATGCTCGGTGTCCTCTTCAATCTCTTCAAGGTCATCATGGTGTCGTATCGAAGAAGACGCGGATTTGAATGGCGTCTTAAACGGTTTGTTTAATACCGAAGCAGAGCTGAAGGGTTTTGTGACTGCACTTCGTTAATAATTAACGGAACATCTGGGTGATGATAATTCTTACTCAGCGTCGGAGCATATGTCTGGGACTTAGGCTTTTTGGCTTTTGGTTCAAAGTTACTCGCTCCAGAGAATGAGCTAGGTCTTTTCCACCCGATATCTGTTTAGGCTTGAGAATTTTGCCAAAGAAGTTTGAGAGTACCTACCAGAAGCTGAAACGTTATCGCTTGACGACGTACGTGAGCTGTTTTTCTTCCATTCGTTGGCAACACGACCCGCGTCTTCGAGAGGCGTGAGTTTATACTTTCGCTGCCGTGTCTCCTTAGGATACTTGCATACCTACAGATTCCAAGTGTTAACATCGAAGTTATAACTTTCAGAGGACCCACGAACATCACACATGGAATCGCAGTAATCTTTGTCTGTGTCCGAAGCCACATCTTCGCCGAAATATCTACATATCAACTGTTTTTCAATTGTGAGAAAATTTCCATTATTGTGTACCAGTGTGGGACACGTACGACGTGTCGGCAAACATCTGTATTTTCAGCAAAGTTCACCAACTACTTTCGATGATGAGTACAGGAAGAAGGAAGTTAAGAAAGGGTGACCGCACCGCTGAGAAACTATCACCAGTTCTCTGGCTTGGAGCGGGGCCATTCTGAACATCTGCCAGATGAACGCGATTATTGTGAGACTGGGAGACCAAAGATTTGACGTAGGACATATCCTCGCGAGCTGATGGGTACTTCCGGTAAGCAGGTGCGGAGTTGCTTACTAAAAAAGGTGAACTCACTGTAATACAAGATGCATTTTGCAGGCTCAAAGAAAATGAACAATATATTCACGATACGGAGTATGTCACGTACCAGCCCATCCCGTCCTGCGCGACCTACGATCGGACCGTTAGCGCGAGAGCCCCGGTTTGTTTGTAAGAGCATACATATACTCACCGGTTTCCTGATAATAGCCTTATGCACGTGTTAAAGAGGGAGTATGTAAAAGAGTATGTTCAACCGACCTTCCATGCTCTTTGGGAGGTCATAATGTATGACATACCTATGATCGTTCAGAAAGGACGAGACGAAGGCAACAAAATTACGCGAACCGGACATCGCCCTTATCAATTCCCAATCCAAACGCAATAGTGGCCACAACCTGAGCAATTCAATCAATATCATATGGGATATAAGATGGGATCGTACTATACCACGTCTATAATACCATCCGTCCACTCTCTTAGGGTCTTATCAAGTGTATTGGGCCTAAAATTCTTCAGCGCTCTAATAAACTTATTTTAAAGCGAACGTACGTTAGACCCTTATGGTATGCGCGCACGCCTAGTCCCTTTCCACGTAAGAAACTCGCCAACTCATCGCAAAGCTTTCGTGTACGACAATAGATAATTCCGCACGACGATTTACCACGTCGTTGATGCATGTCTAGTATGTATTCGGCTATCTCGCTCATGTGTGATAGGGAAGTGCGAGGCGGAGAACATTTAACCTGAAAATTTATCATTTATTCCCAGTAAGAAAGAGAAGACTGGGGAGACAAACTTCATAATAAAGATTCTCGCGATTGAACCCGTGGATGGCTTGAAAGAGATTGGCCTCTGACATGCCAAGGGAGAGTATGATGTCACGGCGTACACTATACACAGATCAGCCAAGTGCAGCGATGCAGCGAAGATGAAGTGCTTACGCGTCCGTGGCAGACGCGGTGAGCGCCATGATAGGAACATTCTTGAACCTACGACGGAATACGCCGAGCCTCCGATATCCTTCTCGAAAATCGTGGCCCCATTCCTGTATCGAGCTCAATAAAACAAAGCGAAAGGCGGAAGAAAGACACCGACTGAGATACAATGTGCCTAAGAAAACAAGATTAGCATCATGATACCAGCTAAGCAAAATGACGCCTCACTTCATCCACGACTAGCCGGTTGAGTCCGCCGTCCTCGTACACTGGTTGCAACATTGCCAAAAAGTCAGCGTTACACAAGCTTTCCGGAGTAACTACAATATGAGTGAATTTTTTGGCACAGGCTTAGGGGGGGAAATGCGCACTGTATAAGAGCCTGTTATGATAGACGCCATCTGTCAGGTCTTTAACAATCTGTAGTATTTTAGATCAAGTGGAATGCACGGTGTGCTAGATATCATACCTCGAGCTTATCTTCAGGAGACGTCTCTGAAGTAAAAGAGACAACGTTGATACCTTTTTGCCTCAGACTTGTGACCTCTACAATGCCATCAGAGTGTGCATGAGTATTTAAGATGGAAGGCGCACGATTCTTCATCAAAGCTGCATCATGACCGTCAATAAATTTCAGAATACGTTTTATACGACAGACCTAGTAAAGGTGAGACGACAATTGTAACGCCACTCTGTAGCAAAAGGTTCAAGGTTGGTTACAGACACACGAAGCATAACGTCCTCACATCCTCTATGATTGCGGGTAATTGGAAACATATGCTCTGTTGAGAAGTTATACAAGAAAAGGAACGGATGGGAGTGTCATACCTTCCCCATCCCCGTTGGTGCAAGCACAAAAATATCGATACCTGGTGCGGAGGAGATCAGAGGATCTCAAAATTATTGGCAAGCATCAACGCACCGGAAACCGCTGCCTCTATAATATCTCGCTGCTTTCCTTTATACTCCGAGTGACCGAATGCTACGAGTCAAGTTCAGAATTCTATACCAAATAGACAGAGTGAATGAGAACACACTTTCCGTGAGAGCCCTATAAGCTGCGTTAATAATGGAGATCAAATGGTACACGCCTGGGCCACTCACTGATGACAACGGTCAAATTTAGAAACAACTGACATTTTCTGGAGCCTCTGCACGCCGATAGATGAGAGAATTGTTCTACGTCGAGGAGGAACACGACGCAAAGGTCAGATCTGGGTATGGCACGGTGGTACTCGAAGGGAAACGAACGTGAAAGAATTCGAAATTCAAACATCGGAGTCCGGACGTGTGTAACGCGTCAGTCACATGACTAGGGCCTCAATCTCAGATTCTCGGGAGAATTCGGCACCAGCCTCTACTTGCTCCTTAACAGTAACGATTTAGACCGCAAGTTCTCTCAGCCTTGTCGTATTCAAGCTTCGATTGAAGTTGTGAGTGTTGCCTTGTCCAGGGAACGAAGCATGCCATATTATCCCATAATCATAGGATGCTTGCAGGCAAGAACACATCGGAATTGAAACCCGATTTTTTTTAGAATTCTGGACCCACTACGTAACGTCTGCGTACAACACCATACAACCAAGTAATCTCCAGTCAACTGGCAGCGCCTCAGGTCCTGCCGTTGTCTGTTTGGATGCCCCTTGTTTTGGTACCACCACCAACTCGTTTTTGTTCCGTCATGAGCTATCCTGAATCATCCGAGCCGATCATGCCTCGCGCCTCAGGATGGGTCGTCGCCTCTTTCCAAGAAGATTTACATCGATTCACGATGGCTGAACATATGTCGTCCCTGAAGAGCAATGCATAGACATACGTTGCAACCAGTAGCATCTAACAGTTTCCCAAAATCCGCGGCTTCTGGTATGAAACACAGGTTTGCAGCTTCGTTCTTCAACATTCAACTTCAATGCCTGAGCTTGTTACAAGGCCAAGGTACCACGCATGAAATGACAGCGGCGCTGCCAAGGCATGGACGGTCTTGAACCCAGAACTTACTGGAGCATGAATTTGGCTGAAGGCATGCTTCTTTTATGATTGGTCATTCCCGGTTTTAGGCGGCATTTCTCGGAGACCTGGAAAAAAGTGCCTGCCGCGAGGAGGCTTTCTGCCTTCATTTTATTCGTCCTGTCAATGAAAGAGAAGAGGAATCGCCGCCGACTGGTATTTTAGCTGTGATGATCGCGTCTATATTCATCCATCCTGTTTTAGACTGATATGATCCCGGCGGCTGCGAGTTTTTGTGCTTTGGTTTCTATTGACCGAACGTCGCATGACCTGGTTCGAAGAGGTAAGAGGACTCTAGATGTATTAGCCCATGTTGACTTATCGAGCTGTATTGTCACTCCTAAAGGACGTCATATTTTAGAAGCAGCAGGTCATCAAGTTCTTCGTTCAGCGACTGCGGTTTTGTTTTCTGTTCGAGTTGAACATTTCCTTGGCTCTCGCTGTCATGATATCCAAGGTTCGTCTGTTCAGCGTAGACCGTCTAATATAGCAAGTTGCTGATTTCAGCCATTTAGCCAAGTTTCAGGCCAGGCGCCACCAGTGCGACCATGCCTCCTGTGAATAGTAGTACTATACCTTTTGTGCGATCCCGGGTCGACGTTGAGATGATCACGTTGAGCGAAGGCATCAAGTGACAATGGCATGGCATTTTTCTTTCGGTCACCTCTGCTAGCATCAAGAAATGTCATTATCCTGTTGCTCCACTGGTATTACTGCGGTGCCTACGGTTGCACGAGGCAGCTATCCAAGGCTTCCCCGCAAAAATTCCTTTTGGACTCACTTGACGCGATCCAGTGGATGATGACCGCCGTCGACGTCAGAGTTCTGTCACGGGACGATGATCACTGCTCCTTCCCGATATATCCACGTACTTCTACTGTCAGAGCCAAGAACGAAGATGGCTATAAAGGTGTACCGTGGACGAATCCAATCTTCCTACTGTTTGCTATCACCCCAATGTCCAACACCGGCAGTGAAGCCTCGAAGCAGCCTCGTACTCTCGTTCTTTGTTTCGATGGAACGGCGAGTGAATACGAGAAGGATGTTAGTGTCGTGCTCAATGCGCTTCATTGGCTAACCCGCCTTTCCCAGAATACGAACGTTGTCAAGCTGTTCTCTCTGTTGAAGAAGGACGATTCAGATCAGCAGCTTTGCTACTATCAAGTTGGTCTCCGCTCTTTTCACCGCTCCGGATTCTCATGAAATCGCGTCATACAGGCTGGAATAGGAACATTTTTCGCGCCAGGTGTCGTGTCACCCCTTTTTGAGTGGGTAGCCAAAATAGCGGACGAAGCGGTAGCTTGGTGAGTTCTGGCTGATTCGCGTACACGGCTCGCAGAGATTCATGGATTCAGGTACCTCAACGAACACGTAATGGACGGCTACAGGTTTCTCATGCAGAACTATCGCGCTGGAGATAGAATTTGCATGTTCGGTACGCGTCTAGGATCTATTCCGTTACACGGTTCTAATCTGTATTTTGCAGGCTTTTCTCGGGGCGCATATACAGCACGCGCTTTGGCTGGTATGCTGTACAAAGTGCGTCGATAATATTCATGTAATACGGCACTGATAGCTGTCGATAGGTCGGACTTCTCCCACGAGATAATCAGGAACAAATACCTTTCGCCTACAAGCTCTATAAACAAGACGATGAAGCTGGTATGGAGTTGAGCACCGGTTTCAAGCACACATTCTGTCGCAATGTGCAGATCGAGTTCGTGGGCGTGTGGTTCGTCAGCACAATCAAGATTCCCTGACTATTGATCAACATCTCCGTAGGGATACAGTTGCAAGCGTCGGCGTGGTCATGGGAAGGACCCTCCCTTTCACCACTTCTAACCGCGCTATCAAGACATTTCGTCATGCCATATCACTTGACGAGGTAACCTTCTTAATTTCATCTTTAGCCATTGATAGTTGACATGGACTGCGTCAGCACCGTTCCCGGTTCAGACCCAATCTCTTTCACCGAGCATCACCTGGCCAAGACCAAGAATTCACAACGGCAGGAAGCACTGGCTCGTGCACTCTGAAGACCCCCTCCGATAAGCTGTCGTTCTACCGCTGCAAAAAATTTGGACCCAGTAATTTCTTCCATCCTGATCACTGGAGACATAGCCCAGTAAGGTCAACGAGTTTGGACGACGAAGACTGGGATCCTACCAACGTGTTGGAAGTATGGTTTGCTGGCTGCCACAGCGGTGAGATCCTTTTTTTTCGTGCCTATCAGTAATTGACCTTTATTAGATATCGGCGGAAACGAACCGATGGTAGACCCTCCCCACAGTATCGGAAACATACCCCTTCGCTGGATGATCCGTCAAGTCATCAGCTCACAGTGTGGAATTGTATTCGATGAAACTGCGCTCTCAAAGCTCGAAGTCCGGCCTTCTCTCGTCTTCCAGCCTCCGAAAGCGCATGGAGGTCCGGGAATTGCTGATGCAGTGGATGCACAGCAGCCTATTCATGACCGGCTACAAGACACGAAGATATGGTGGATTTTGGAAATTATTCCACTGCGATACTCGTGGCAAGACGCGCAAGGCATGTGGCGCAGTGAATTTCGGTTGGCCGCCATTACAACTTGTTATTTTCACACTGACGGCAAGTATTAGGTGGAATTTGGGACGAGGCAGAACGATCGAAGAGAAGCAGCCGAATTTCCACATTACAGTCAAGGAGCGTATGGCGAATGAGTCGCTAAACTACAAGCCGAAAGCGATCTGGAATGGGAACGAGGTATACGTCGAGTGATCTCGATTATGACGCTACTCCAATGCGTTGTGATCGTATTGATATGTTTTTATGACTAGACTAGATTCGGATACCCTTCATTACCCCAGTACGACCCAACGTACCGACACTTCCCATACAATCAGACGGAATGAATGCAAATACCAAGCTTTACACGTAATACATTAATATGTATGTCAAGAAATCAATACAAGGAACACTAGTATCTATTGCGCCTGCCTACCCTTGGCCATGTAAGCACTGTTTGTGGGTCTGAACTTTTTGGCCGGGGGCGCCTCTAGTTCAAGGTCGATAGACTCCGACTCCCTCTTTACACCCGAAAACATCTCATCAAATTCAGTACGACCAAAGTTTTCTGGAATATCCTCTAAAAATTTGTTCCCGATGTTCTCCAGCTCGCGCAAATGCTGCTTGAATGTATTCACCAATTTGTCCATCGAGATCTTGCGGTTCTCGAAATTGGTGATGGAGCGCTGCAGCTGGAGCAGCTGGAGATGGATATACATGTACTCGGCCATACCCACCTTGCGGCGTTGTTCGTTGATGTGGTTATTCGAGTCTAAGGAGGTAGCGTGTCATTGAAGTATTGGAAAACATGAGATATCACTCACTGCGCAGCTCCATAATCGTATCCAAAAGAGCACGGTTTTCGTTCTCGAGGGTGGCGATGAGGTCGGCAGATGCCTCAGAATCTTGGTTTTCGGACGTATCACCTTGTGCTACATCGCGGGAGAACGAAGGAATGTCAGTTTGGCGGTTGCAAAGGCTCAAAGGCTCAACTTACCTTCCATGGTTGGGTGGCTGAGGAGCTGAGCTGAACCGAACTGAAGCTCAGCTGATGGACCTGCCTGGATGGGAGTCGACGAGAGGAACCCATCAACATCATCAATCTTTACCGAGACGTTGTCCGCGGCCCTATTTCCCTTGTTCACAGGGACCATGCCCTTGTTGTCGCTATACTGAGACCACAAGGTGCGCGCGCTCATGCCCACTTTCGCCTCCCAGTCTGAAGGAAGTTCGCTGGTGGTATCCTTTGGGGAAGATTCTGTAGAGGACTGCGTAGGGTATTAATTCTACTATGCACGAAAAACCAAAAGTAGGAATATTCTTACAATCTGGTGCACCTCTGGTGGCTGGGATTCGGACGGTCGAGCGGCTTTGGAGATGAGTCGTGGAGTGACGGGGAGCTGGTTCTGAGGCCGCCGAGCAGCCATTTTAGGTTGACCGGGCTTCTTCGTAGTGGAGGCAGACACCAATTCGGATGCAGCGCTGGGTGATGATTTGGCCTGATGAAAGGTTAGATGCCATTCCGCGGTTTCAATGATGCAAGTACCTTGAATCCAGAGGAATCGTTTCCTGGACCAGGTTTGCTTGCACCGTTCTTTGCGCTAGGCTTGGTGGTCAAATCCATCATGAGAGCTAAAGGATGGACGAAGGCAGAGAAGAAGAAGAGAAAGCCATAAAACAGGTCGTGAATATATAAGTACCTCAGTGATGAATGTTCCAAGAATTTTCGTAGTTTCCAGACGCGCCAGTGTTTTCCCGCGCGATCTTCGATTCGACACAAAAGGAAGCTGAATTGCTTACCGACCACAGAATTCAAAGTAAAGTTACGTGTTGTCGTGCAGATCTTCCCATCAGCTGGAAACATCTTCACTACGTGTACTCGACCAACTCCGACAAAAGATAGTCCTGGGTGAGAGAAAGGGCTCAAATGAATGTTGAACGCATAAGTATTCAGATATCTTACCTTAATGCCCTGCTTCGGTATTTGCCCAGCTCGACAACAGCTTGATCCTTGAAGTTCGGTGCTCCAGGCATATTGCTCGGTCCATGGGATCTATTCTCCACCGCCGCCGGCCTTTACACGTGAAAAAATGTGGTATTGCGAACATGGGTACCACGGTCCACCATTTAACACTGCGTTGGCCATGGCCTATCACAAAAGACAACTTGGTCCATGAAAACACCCGGTATTCATCTTCTGACTTGACGTGTAATCAGGTTTTAAGGGCAGGCCTAATAAATAAAAGCTCTTAGCTGCCCCGCTTTTTTGTAGGGATATAGTGAGCAGTGTCATACCATTAGTACTTATTGGGGGTGCCACCCTTTGCAAGGTACAATGCATGCGTAGAGCAATATCTTGCGAACAGAAGCGGGAGCTGTCGATCCGATATGGTGTAACGGCTAACATTGCCGCCTTTCACGCGGCAGCTCGGGGTTCGATTCCCCGTGTCGGAATCGATAAGCGCATAGCTTTTTGGCATCCTTCTAACAGGAGGAACATCTTGCGTTGTCGGGCCTCGGCCGGAGTCAGACTCAAAACCTCCAGGTGTAAGTTAACGTTTTTTACCAATTCGTCCTCGAAGGTGTTTTGCTGTAACCTACCTCTCACCTGAAAAGATCAAATGACTGACGCGTGGGAATTGCGGATTTTTTTCAGAATTTCGCAAGAAGTCACTACAGTATTTCCCCCTTCCTTGAGTCACCACCCCTCCTTGAGTCAAACATTAATTTCGACCGCAATTATAGAGCAGGGTTTTGATCCTTTTGTAGAAACCTTTATTTACCTCTTGAGAACATTTGTGCAAAGTTTTGTGGCGGGAGGTAAAGATCTACTGATTCTGTACACGTATTTGTGCCACAATTTGGTTTAATTGAGGTGGCTCAGCTTTTGTCATGAGAATTCCCTAATTTGTATACAGGTTTCTGTTCATCGGGTGTTCCTAACAGCTAAAATAGACATATAGCTCTAGATCTGTGACCAATACTTGAAGGATTTGAGCAGAAATATGAGGTAAAAGTACGCGTAGATGATAAATGAGCTAGAACGCGTGACGTGAGTGTCACATCTCCAAGCCAATTTTGGTGCAGTCACGCCCGACTCAAGGAAACCAATTCCGTGACATTTCAATCATTTCAGTCGCTTGGAGGGGACCTACCACGGAACACTCTTGGATCTCCACAATATTGCAACCAGAGGTACCTCTATTGTCCATTTATACATTCGTGAATTTATTTTGACTTTTCGGGCCATGAGGATTGCAAGGAAAGCTAGACTCAAAGTCCTGACTCAAGGAAGGGGGAAATACTGTACTTGTCTTCGCGTTTTTGGATATATTCTTGACGCAGCTCTCTTCTACTATCACTCCTTCCTTCTCCTCCCTCCCCATCTTTGTTGTGTCTTCTTCGCCACAAAATTTGTCTTATGATGTTGGCAAGGACGGCGGAATACTGCATCCGCTGCAGTCCGGCCCTGAAGACTGCGGAACATATCTGAATATTCCGAGGACTGAGATCATTCCAGAAGGCTTGAGTCATGTCGTCGGCACGACCAACGAGCATCGAGCTCAGTAACCTTTCTCATCATTCACAGCTGGAGGATAATGCTCAACTAAATGAGTCGTCTCTTGCACCAGTGGACCGTGGATTCGGCGCTTGGTCATATGTACGTCCTCCCTTGATCTACTCTCTGAAAGTATGATTATCTCTGGCTTAGCTACTAGCTGCATTCGTTGTTGAAGGAGTTGTATGGAGACTCCCAGACTCGTTTGGTGTCTTCCTTGATAGTGCGTCCTACCTCAGTATTTTATGAACAGGCGCCAACTCAATAATACTGGCAGGCTGCCTCAACGATCCGAAATTTGTGAACCAGCCCCATGCATCCACTTTACTTCCTCTCATTGGGTCTCTGTCATCGGGAATGATTTTCTGTTCTGGTAACATTTTATCTAATTTGGTCTGGAAACTTGTTAAATGGCTACTAGGTCCCCTAATCTATCCCATTAATGTGCGATATCCATACTATCGTCGTACAATGATGTGGATTGGCGTAATCGTATGCGGGGCAAGTCTCTTCGGGGCGAGTTTTGTGACTAAGGTAAGCACGGCGTTCCACCATGATCCTTGCTTTGTTTCTCACCAAATATCCAGGTACCAGTCCTAATTGGCCTACAGGGAATTCTCTATGCTATCGGCGGATCGCTCCTGTACGCCCCCTGTATATCTTATATGACCGAATGGTTTGTGATGCGGAGAGGTCTTGCAAGCGGTGTCATCTTCGCTGGTTCGTACAGGTATTTTCTCATTGAACCTCTCTTCTAAGTCCTGCATTCAAGAACCTCTGCTGGTGGTTTGATTCTCCCTCTCGTATTGCCAACCCTCATATCTCGTCACGGATCTGCGAAGGCTCTCCGAATCATTTCTGTCGTGCTTACAACAGTTCTCATACCAATTGTTGCACTAGTCAAACCCCGACTTCCTGAATCTAGAAATCGTGCTCAAGTAACACCTCCTCGTTCACGCGACTGGATGAATAGTCCCACCTTCTGGGTCCTTCTTGCCGTTAATACGGTTCAGGGTCTCGGCTACTTTGTGCCTGTTGTATGGCTTCCAAGTCAGTGCTCGTACCTCTAACAAATTTGAGCTAATGGAGGATTCTTCTTCTAGCTTTTGCACATGAAATTAACCTGAGCAGTACCAGCTCTTCGCTGGCTGTTGCACTTTTGAATGGTGCGTCGCTGAGTTCAAACAGGACACAGACTCCTTCTGAAATGTATTCACAGGCGCCTCTCTGCTCAGTCGTCTGTCATTAGGTTACCTAGCTGACAGACTAAATCCGTGGCTCCTCGCATTATCTACACTATCTTCAACATCAATCGCTACATTTATCCTCTGGGGCCTGCTCTCGCGAAATCTTGCTGGACTTCTATCATTTGGTATCACCTACGGTGTACTCGCTGGGGGATGAAGTAGTTTATGGACAGGATTTATCGCTCCCATCGCTAGTATGACTTCTTTCATGCATACCCCTTCTCATTACTCATTCCCATTTCAGAAGACCCAAACTTGGTGACCTATCTAATCGGATATCTTATGCTCTCGCGAGGTGTAGGCAACATTTTATGCACGCCAATCTCATCTGCGCTGGCTACGACGTCAGGTCCTTTTACTGGCGAGATAACCACAGGGTTTCAGGTGACGGGAGGAAGATTTGAGAATATGATTTTGTATGTGGGGAGTGTTTTGCGGGTGCTGCAGGGGTTGCGCTGTTAGGGTGGGCACTGGATTCGAGGGCAGACCGGGCTCGAAGCCGCGCAACTTGAATTGAATGTGGAATAATTTATTAGGAATAGGGATAAGGTGTATAGCCTATTTTGTTCTTTTCGGCCGTGACCACCTCAAACGTCTTTTCTTCTAATCTGGGTCGGACCGGCCTTCCGGAAATACCGATCGGTATTTTTTCAGCGATTTCGAGTCATACTTCGTCACCCACCTTATAGCTAATCATGTCGATACAGACAGAGAACATAGAGCTCTCGAGGATGAACTCAGAAATTTCTCTTTCGCAAGAAGACACGCTTCCACGAAACGAGTCGTCGTTAGCACCTGTAGACAGAGGGTTTGACGCGTGGTCCTTCGTGCGTGAATCAAAGTGCTTTTGCATTACGGTCACTGATATTAAGTAGCTGGTTGCAGCATTCTTCATTGAGAGACTCGTGTGGGGATTCCCCAATGCCTTTGGAGTTTTCCTTGATGGTAGGAATTCATCCATCTAGAATAGCCCTCGCTAGGCTGACTCGTGAATGCAGGCTACCTCAGCGATCCAAGTTTCTCATCGCAACCCCACACCTCATCTCTACTTCCTCTAATAAGGCCACTATCATCAAGGATCATATATTGCTCAAGTAAAGCATGACCCGCCCTTCCTTTGATCCCATTAAGCATCTGTTACTAGGCCCCATAATTTACCCCATCACCGCGAAGTATCCTTACCATCGGCGAATGTTCATGTGGGTAGGCGCTACCCTCTGTTGGGCAAGCCTGTTGGGTGCGAGCTACACCACCAAAGCAAGTAGCTCTCTTCTTCGAGATTTACGGTCTGTTGTAGCTGGGAATGCCAGGTTTCAACCTTAATAGGCCTTCAAGGTGTCTTATACGCTGTTGGTGGATCCCTTCTGTATGCTCCGTGCATATCATACATGTCTGAATGGTTCGTGACCCGGAGGGGTCTTGCAAATAGTGTCATCTTTGCTGGTGCGTGAATCCTCTTCATCTCTTCGGTGGTTATACTGAATAAGGTTGTAGGGACGGCTACCGGAGGTCTGATACTACCCTTAATACTTCCAGAATTGATTTCGCGCTACGGGACTGCCAAAACATTACGGATCCTCTCTGTCGCCCTCGCAGCTCTCCTTCTACCCACGCTCCCCTTTGTCAAACCACTAATTCCTGACTCCAGGAGCCGTCAACAAGTGCCACCTCCTCGCTCACGAGAATGGATTAAAAGCGCGTCATTTTGGATCCTTCTTGCTGCAAACACCTTCCAGGGATTCGGGTACTTTGTCCCGATAGTATGGCTTCCCAGTAAGCTCAGGTTCATTCTCGCGATATTCTCTGACTCCGCAGTGGCGTGTATTTAGCGTTTGCTCATGCGATGAACTTGAGCCCTACGAATCCATCATTGACTGTCGCTCTCCTCAACGGTACACCCCGTCTCAAAGATTTTGGCTTACGTTACTAACTTGGCTTCTAGGAGCCTCTGTACTTGGTCGTCTTTCCATGGGTTACCTCTCTGATAAGTTCAATCCATGGCTCTTGGGGATGTCAACCCTCTTCGTGACATCTCTGGCCACGTTCGTTCTATGGGGTGTCCTCTCCCAAAGTCTAGCTGGGCTTCTTGCCTTCGGAATCGCTTACGGTATCCTGGCAGGGGGATGGAGTAGTCTTTGGACTGGGTTTGTTTCTCCCATCGCAAGTAAGCTCTTTTAACATTCTGTTTATCGGTGGTACCAATATGGATCCTACATCACCCTAGAAGACGACCCAAACCTAGCCACGTACTTGTTCGGGCTACCTCATGCTATCCCGAGGCGTGGGCAATATCTTGTGCACGCCGATCTCGTCTGTTCTAGAAACGGCGTCCGGTTCGGCTGTTGGTTCAGCCAGTACGGGATTCCAGGCTGCTGATGGCAGATTTGAGAATATGATTCTGTATGTGGGGTCGTGTTTTGCTGGTGCTGCCAGCGTGGCATTGTTGGGCTGGGGCTTAAACATGAATGTTATTCGTTCTAGAAGGCAAAGGGTATAAATACCGTATGACCCTCACATTCCATTTGTTGCTGGTATGCCCAACGTCCTTAGTAAGTCGGCGAGCTTAGAGATGTATTCAATAAGTCACTTCTTCAAACTCATCTTGTTACCGTAGCGTCGGGAAAGTGCCGCTTCGCACGTCATGTTATTGGAGATGGGAACAAGCTGTGGGGGGTGCCCTGAGTCGTATCATGATAAGCAACTATTAGTATCATGATAAGTTAGCTGCCTATCATGTCACTGACACAGTGTGAGGAATGTTGTCCTCGCGAGCATATTTGCTATTATTAGCCGTGGTAAATCCGTAGTAGACTCTAATAAGTCTTCGTCGCTTCCTTGTTGAAGACATCCATCATCATCGGATGTCCACGAACGCAACAGTACCGTCTTTCTTCGATGCCGTTACCGAAAGCTGCCTTTGAGCTGAATGTCTTGTATGGAAAACATCAAGTGACGCCCTGCATGCATGCAGAATCGAACAACAGCTGAACCCCATGGTAAGACAAAACATTGAAATGTGACTTGAAAGACATCTGATTGATGAACCATAGATTCGCGTCAGAGCAGCTTTCAAAGTAACCACGGGCCGTTCCACAAAAACCTGCTGAGGAATCATTAATCATACTCGAGATGGAGACATGGGTGAAAACGAATGGATCTTTGAGCGTGAAAGAGTTTTGTCTGTGAAAGACGGTTATACTGGAGAACTAAATGGTGAGCCACTGAAGATACCTCTCACTGAAGAAGTCATTTTCTGATCTTTATTCTCGCTGATGGGCGTGTCTGTCCGAAATTTTTGACAACGATGTCTGCGGTTACGGATCACGTAGCGTGCGTCCTCGCTGCAGCATTTGAATTCACCACAAGATCTGCAGTAGTCAGGGCAGAATGTACCAGAGACTCAGAGATGGACGTACCTTCAACCCTACAGAGCTTGGCGGCATATCTCATATCGAGGTCCAAGCATTCGCCCGTACCCTGGAAAGGGCGGAGAAGGATAAGCGAAAGAAGGGCCCGGCACGTCGAACCTGGTGCGGGACGACACTGGGACGACCGACAACAGATGACGATCACGCTCCGAATTTCAAACGGCCGCAACTGCGACATTTACGCTCATTTACGTATCATCCTCCGCTCTGACCACCATCACTATACAACTGGCTTGGCTATCGATACTATGCTGGCTCGGATCTTATGTTGCATTCAAGACGGATACTGGTACTGAGGAACGGTCATTAATATTGTGCGTCCGTCACATCCGCCGTGTCCTTTCAAACACTGACCTAGTATTCTTTGCGATGGAAAAAAAGTCGCCTTGGATTGTGGATCGTTTGAAGCGTGAGCTTGTTGCTACCAATGTTGATGACGCATGGTGGGAATGGTCGCGTCATCAGACATGGCACTCGATCGTGGATCAACGACTGGCCTTTGCTAGCTCCGGGAGCCCTTAGGCTTCCACGCCCATGTTACTTCCTGCAGAATTTTGATACTCCATGTCCAGCACGGCCGCCATAGACATGTCTGCCATCGACAAGCAGGTAGACATCGTAGAGACGCCTCGCATGGTCTCGGACTGGTATCTCACCGACACACATCAAGAAAAACTCTCTTTTTCTGCGGTCGCGCCGGTGGATGTGCAAATACGGCGGCTTTCGGTGGAGGTCCATACTGGACGCCGTGGCTGGTTTGCAAAGAATCAGAACTTGGACGAAGAAAAGGGTGTGTCGAAGGGTCTGTTGTCCCAGATTGACGCGGATTTTCCTCATGCGAGCTTGACTGGGATTATTGGCAGCAGTGGTAGCGGCAAAGTGAGTATTCTAGACTCTACGAGAACCGCTGTGTACTGACATCGTTCAGACTACACTGTTGAATGTCCTGTCGCGACGAATGCATGCCAGCAACCTTGCCGTACACGGGCACATCCTATACAACAACTCACCATCTATCTCCGACATTACCCACGCCTATGTTACTCAAACCGATATTCTTCTACCGACCCTAACCGTACGCGAAACCCTTATGTATGCGGCTGATCTTCGTCTTCCGGCTTCAATTACCAGTGTAAAACGGGCTCAACTCGTTGAAGAAATCATTCTTGAACTTGGACTGAAGGAATGCGCCGACACTCCCGTCGGGGACGGATTCCGTCGGAAAGGATGCTCGGGTGGGGAACGAAGGCGAGTTAGCCTCGGCGTTCAGCTGCTCGGAAATCCGTCCGTACTTTTTCTCGATGAACCAACGACTGGGCTAGATGCTACCAGCGCATTTCAATTGGTGAAGACGCTGCAAAGCATGGCTAAGAAGGGCAGAACCATCATCATGACGTTACACCAACCTCGTTCTGAGATCTTCTTCATGCTTGACAGGGTGACGCTGCTGGCGCAGGGACACACTCTTTACACTGGACCCATCTCAGATGCAGTCCCGTGGTTCGAGGGTCACTTGAACCCAATTGACCATCATGTCAACCCCGCCAACTACCTCATTGATGCTGCAGCGATCGACGTCCGGACCACAGAGACTGAGGAAGCAGCACGAGCTCGTGTCAACAGGCTCATTAGCGCATGGCACGAAGAGTCGGTTAAACGCTACCCGGAGGGACTTGCAAAACAAGAAACGGAGTCGACAACGACTTTGATTCCTCGGTCTGCGGTACCTGATCATAACAAGGTGCCTGTATCACGGACAGTGTTTACTCTGCTTTCGCGTACCCTAAAAACGAGTTATCGAGACCCACTAGGGATGACAACTTCATGGATCGAGGCGGTCTTAATGGGTGTGGTTGTTGGGTTGGTATTTTTACAGCTGCCGGATTCGATAGCTGGTATTCGTTCACGGCAAGCAGCACTGTATACTGCAGTCGGACTTCAAGGCTACTTGATCGTCATGTATGAGGTTTATCGTTTGACTGTTGTAGAAATGCCTGTGTTCGATCGGGAACATGGCGAAGGGATTGTTGGAGTTTTGCCCTGGATTCTGAGCTATCGCATTGCCCACCTATTATTGGAGGACATTATTGTTCCATTGGTTTTCTGCGCCATATCTTATTTCATGATTGGATTCGCGCCTTCGGCCTCGCGCTTCTTCTTCTACTTTGCGATCGGCCTGCTCAATCACTTTACTTCCGTATCATTTGCGGGGCTCTCGTCCGCTATTTCTCGGAATTTTGCCACTGCGACGCTAGTTGCAAACCTGGCATTCACTGCCTATACCTTCGCTTGCGGATTTTTCATACAAGGGAATTCTATACCTATATATCTGCGCTGGATCAAGTGGATATCGCAGTTGGTATGTAAATCTCACAATACTCTATTGTCTGCCTAATGTTCCATCTTAGTTCTATGCATTTACTGCACTAGTTAATAACGAATTTAAGGGCCGATTTTTTGATTGTCCGTCTGGAGACGCACGGACAGATCCCAACTGCATCACCTATCGTGGTGACTTTATCATCGAGTCTCTTGCTGTTCCGCGAAAGGACTGGACGACCATTCCGGTCGTTGCTATGCTTGGCTTCGCCATTCTGTATCTCATCTTCCAAATCCTCCTCTTGTTTGTGATCAAGATCAATATCACCGTCCTAGGAACCAAACGCACAGCCGATGAACCCAAGCAAAAGAATATCAAAGTTATCAGCCGGGCAGCTAATGCGGTGGCTGGTGTAGATATAGATCTTATTGATTACACGCTACACATCCGCACACGGGGAGGGAAGAGCCGTACAGTCCTGCAAGGCATCAATACATGCTTCGAAGCAGGCAAAGTCAACGTCATCCTCGGTCCCTCAGGCAGTGGAAAATCCTCATTGCTGAACTTGATGGCGCAACGACTCCAGTCGACTCTACGGACGACATACGTCGCGGAGGGAGATCTTGCGCTGAACGGAGTTGTTGCAAATGGCGACGTTGTGCGCGTGCTTTGTTCATATGTGATGCAGGATGACGCGGCACTCCTTCCATATCTTACCGTTCGGGAGACGCTCCGATTTGCTGCCGGGTTGCGACTGCCAAGTTGGATGTCGAAGGAGGAGAAGAGGCAGAAGGCGGATGAGGTGATGCATAAAATGGGGTTGAAGGACTGTGCGGATACGCTGGTCGGGACTGAGCTTTCGAAAGGTATCTCGGGTGGGGAGAAGAGAAGGGTTAGTATCGCCATCCAGGTGCTCACGGAGCCTCAGGTGTTAATGTAAGTTTTGTTGCTCCCTTCTTTCGTTTTTCTGAACGCTTTGTCTGCAGGCTTGATGAACCCACCTCAGGATTGGACGTGTTCACAGCTGCATCAATCATGGATGTTCTGCGGCAGCTAGCGGAAGAAGGCCGGACGATCATTACAACCCTTCATCAGAGCTCGTCCGAGTTATTCAGGCATTTCGGCAATGTACTCCTTCTAACCAAGGGAGGGAGGGTGGCATACTCGGGACCTGCATGCGATATGCTAGAGTATATGGCGTCTGTTGGGTTCAAGTGCCCCTCGACAATGAACCCAGCCGACTTTGCTTTGGATGTAGTCTCTGTAGATTTACGCGAGGCCGAGCAAGAGGAACTCAGCCGAGTCAAGGTGGATAGGCTTGTTGAGGAATTCCGAAAGCAGACACACAAGGTTGAAGATCGGAAGAAAACATCCGGGCTTTCTCTGGATTTGAAGAAGTATGAAAAGAAGATGTCGCCGCTTACAACATCGTTACCCATACTTCTGAAGCGCGGATATCTGGCATTTATTCATCAGAAAACAGTTCCGGAAGCGAGGTTTGGGAACGTTCTGGGGCTTGGGGTATGTCTTCAGTGTTATACTCATATCGATAGCGTTCTGATGCATAAGAAAAGGTCGTTTCAAGTCTCTTTTTTTCTCCTATTGGGCACAATTACATCAGCATTCAGAATCGCGTTGGCTGTATCCAGGAGATCCTCCCTTGTAAGCTCACTTCTGCTCTATCTGTTGCATGGAAAGTCATTTACAACCTTGGTGTAGTGTATTTTGTCGGAATGCTGCAGAATATTGCAGTCTATCCTGTTGAAAGGGATATTTTCTACAGGGTACGATTCATCAGTCTTTTCACAGGATATGCCACTAAATTTCTGTGTAGGAATACGATGATGGAGCATACTCTATCGAGTCATTCTTCATCGCATATGTCCTATTGGAATTGCCTTGCGAGGTTCTATCTTGCTTGATATTTTCCGCATTAACGGCTATCGCGACCGATCTCCGGCGGACAGTCAGTATGTTCTTGGTCGTATCTCTGAATGCGCTATGCATCGTCAACGCCGGGGAATCACTCGGTATCTTATTCAATACTTTACTCAACGAAAACACCGGGCTTGCGCTTAATGTGACCAACGTGATCTTATCAGTCGCGATGTTCATGGCAGGTACATTCATCCTTCGTTGTAGTTCTCTTCGTTGCTTGAACGTCTTCGACAGGTCTGATGAGCTTGGATATGCCCGCGTTTCTGAAGGGGCTGAACAAGCTATCACCCCTAGGCTATGCGATCCGAAATATCATGCCATACGCATTCCGTGGGCAGGTATTCTCATGCGACGATGATCAACGGCTTGTCGATGGCACTTGTGCCGTTAGTTCCGGGGAGCAGGTATTAGATATGTTCGAGCTGGGAGGAATCGATGCGCAACTTAATCTCGGTGCTATTGTTGTTGCGATGGTGCTATATCGTCTGCTAGCATATGTGGTATTGAAATTAGTGAAAGCAAGGTTTAAGGTGGAGAGACGGCGCAAGTCCAGAGCATAGTTTACCCAGGCTGTAATATTATATACCTAATCTTCTTAACAATAACCGTGTTCTAATGCCTCGCGAAGTATGACGACTGATCAGGTATCATATATCAGAGATGGTACAAATTGTATCTTTTGCCATGGTATTCTCATGAAAAAAATTTCATATAGTTGATGATCGGCCGACTGGAATCGGCCACGTTCCTTTGCTTGTGACCACGATGACTCTCGTCTATCTTTCTGCGTCCAGCTCACTGAATTCTTCGCATGGAGCGACACGAACTAGACAAACGCAGCCCTCAGTTGCTGCTGTTACGTGGCCCCCGCGGTGCTATTCGTCAATTCCTACCCTTGCTGATGGGTCGCCTGAGACGGACAGAGACAGTCAGACTGTAACTCCTATTCTGGCGCGTCACTCACTGACCTGAAGTCAGCGCTGAAGGCGAAGTCCAAGGCGTTGCGAAGGAAGGGCAAGGTATACATTGTAAACACTCTTGCCCGCAATCTCCGGCTGACCTATTCGATATTCAAGCACGGCAACTTCTTAATTTCGGATGCGAAGATCCTCTTGTTCATACACATAACACTGCCTTCAATTCCGTTTTTGTGGGGTAGCCGAACGGACCGTGCTGCCATGGTGGGACATGCGCCTTTTCCGCGACACGACGTCCATTCTATGTTGCCCCAGCCACGCACGAGCTACGAATCACGTTCGATGATCAAGGGTGCTTGGCCCGTGGGATGCAGAACAATTAACGGCAGGCATCTTGTTCATTGCCTTGGGCTCAAGCGCGCGCATATACCCAGCATTCTTGACCGATAGGGCATCTTGATTGCAACGTCAACTGCGTGGGTTGCTGGACAGCATGAGGTGCTGCGCTACGCATAGCCTTGAATCGTGAGAAGACTCGGACTCGGATAGTCAGGTACGTCCTTCAGATCTATCTTAAACTGTACTGATTCTGTATTCAGCACCTGTATGCTCCACCGCTGTTGCATTCTTCTGGCCCCAGATATCGTTCATCACGTTCGTCATAGAATTAGAGGCCCATTAGAGCATGGCTCCCGCTTGCCATGACCCTCATTTCAAAGAGAAACCCCGCAGGCGACGTGACGTCACGGCTCCAGGCCTCGTGCAGCGTCTATTAATATGCGAATGCTGGATATATAAAGCCACCTACATCCGCCCCGTTTTTCCCTCACTCGTCCATCAGCACCATGAACCCCCCACCTGCTGCACACACCAAGGCTCCCACTGACTCCCAGCCGCGAGCTGCAGATGGAATGAGTACGTACTCTTTCTTCTTATGTAGCTTACATCCGACCCTCTTCCCAGACATTACCAACCCCCCGGCGCAGACCCAAACTCAGACTCATGAGTGCGAGCACAAGAGACAAGCTATGCGTCTGCGTGGAGGAGGTGCAGCAAAGGTCCGCTTGTCTCCCGGTATTCATTGAACTCAGCGTTGCTCACCTCGTGCTCAACGCAGGACTGCTTCCTCGGACTCGTCGGCTGCTTCCTTTGTTTCGGTGAGACCTTTATACCTCCGCCGCAATCAACATCAACTTACCCCGTACTCCTTTATAGAATGCTGCGAAGTAAGTGGCTCAAATACTCGTCGCATTCTTCGACGTATTCATTCTTACTTAGGGCTGCTGTGACTGCATCGGCGATATCATTTGTGAGTTGATTCTACCGTTTAATCCGCATTATTTGTGACGAAGTTGTTTTAGGCTGCCCCTGCGAGATGATTTGTTAGTTAGGGAGTAGAAGTGTGATCTGTTCATTATCTCTTCGATGTATCGAGAGTTGTCACGCATGATTTTATGAGGAAAATTTTCTCTATCAGTCGGATACCGTCTAGTGTCTGACAAGCATGAAATATAAATAGAATAGATATACATAACGTCGATAAGGAAGGAAGGAAGCAAGTTGTATTAGTCGTCGGTCTTGAACAGAGGCGTAACGTACGTCCGTAACTACAAGTAGGTATCTACGAATTACATTCTACTGATGTCAATGAGTGTCAGCAGATGTCTAGTTACTACGGGACCGAACCAATCCCAGCTCTGCCGCTCCCGTCATGAGTACTCATAAGACCTTGGGCGTACGCATTCATAATTGTTGAAAGATGCGTGCGATGGGGGTTAAATCGAATCATAGAGTCGCGCAGAAACGTAACTACGGCGGCGAATATTCTTGACAATTCAGGCCTCAGGGTGTGTAGAACTCTAACAGAAACCGGCCCTTACAGTAGTAAATGGCCCGAAAATGTGGGGTCGGGGAATGAAAAAGAATACACGTTCCGCTTCCTTCATATGGGGAACACTTTCGGTTCAATTTACTACTCACCCGACTAACCGGAGTCTTAAGAAACTGGGCCCAGAGTTTCTGACCAGTAACTTGTTGCATGATTGCCCTTGGGCATTCATAATAGTAAGTTGTAACGTTACTAACACCGTAACACATATTCAGACTAGGGTTGCGCACGAAACCCAAGGTTTTGATACACCTGGGTTTATTCCCGGTAAGTTAGCGGTAAGTTACTGGTAACTTACCCTCCCTCGCCGGAGGGGTTTTCGTCGAGGTAACTTACCTGTCATGTGACAGGTAGTCGAGCAGAACAATTTAGTACTACTACACGCATATTTCAATTTGGATTGTATATTTTACAGATGAGTGGTCCACAACTGAATTACCTTGAATTACATCAAGAAAATGTATAAAAACACGAAGACAAAGGTTTCGAAAAATTCGGCAATTGCGGCGCGTTAGTCATGTGATAATGCACGTGATAAGGTAAGTAACCGTAACTTACCGTAGCAAAACCACCCCCCTGGGCAGACTCCTTCCCACTCTCGCTTCGCAGTATGACGAGACCCTAATGTATTTTATCTTATCTTATCAATGCACGTGACTTTCATAAATTTCTTGAACCTTATTTTTTTTACCCCCCATTTCGGAGACTGGCGTCTTTTGCGGTGGCGCGTTGCACATATTTGGCTGAACCTTCCTTGCCTCAGTGGTCGTACTTCCTGAATTCGAAGGACCTGCACCAAGACATCAAGTATTGTTACATTGTTTCTTCAAGAATGCTTATAATCTGATTTAGCCAGGGTATGCTGCTTTTTTGCTGCGTGTAGCATAACATCCTGAAATGTATGCACAGATAGCTCACTCACAGGGCGTCGTAAGACAGGTGAGAACAAGGATAATTTATTCCGAAAATGAGATGACATGAAATTAAATACGGTATATAGACTACGTGCAGCCAACAAGGCAATATCAGGAATACCAAAAGGCAGCAAAATGGGCAGGAGGAGAAGGTTCAGCCAAACACGCGCAAAGCGCCACCGCAAAAGACGCCAGTCTTCGTAATGGGGGGTATAAAAAAATAAGGTTCAAGAAATTTATTGAAAGTCACGTGCACTGATAAGATAAGATACAGTTATTGACAGGTCATTGCAACACCATCAGTCACTGAAACAGTTGATTTAGCCTCCTTCTCCCCAGTTCCGCTGCCTGACAGTGTTGTATAATCGGAGGCATAGATGTTATGGATTTTTAGTGATTTTTTGGGGATTTTAGCGCGACTGCTGACCCCGTGAAAAATCGAACAGTGATGCAAATTTGGCAGGGGTTTGCCACGTGGTCATTTACCAGTCAATGAAACACCGTAAATTACGAATATCTCAATAATAGATGCCTTGATCCACTTCATACTTTGTATGGATATCACTGAGCAATATTAAAAAATTTGTAGCTACTTTATTTGAGGAAAAAGACGATGTGTGGTGGATGGGACAAAAAACATTTTTCGGCGTTCCAATGACCGGTAAATAACTGTACGATGTGATACCCCACAGCTGCGAAGCAGCTTTTACCCCCCATGAAGGAGAATGGGAAGGAGTCTGCCCCCTGGGGAGGGGTCGGTAACAAACGGTTACTTACCCCCCCCCCCCCCTGAAGGTTTCGTGCGCAACCCTAAAATTTCAGACTTCAGAGAGCGTCATCAAGGGTAAAAAAAAGCTCAAAATTACTGCCCCCCTGCAAGGCTCGAACTTGCGACCTCGAGATTGCCAGATGACTAATCACTCTCATACCGTAAGTATGAGACTCGCGCTCTAGCCAACTGAGCCAAGGAGGCCCTATGTCTATGCTAGAAATCACGACTATAATGTGTCTGTAGAGCTCAGCCTCAGCCTCCGCATACACCATCAGGTTCATTCAATTCATACCATTGCTGGTGTAGAGTCGACATAGAGGAGCGGATTTCTCGAGGCTCTCTTAGCTGCAGCTGGTGACTTTTTCTGCGCGAACAGCGCTAACGTCCGGATAGTTAGCACCGTTCTGACCTCTTGGCATCTATGTTTACTCTTTCAGTCTCATGGAAGACTTCCGACAGGAACAGAGTGTTAGCCGTACTGTATCTGTGTTTCTGTGATCTTCAGATAGAATGCGCACGAGCAGACCTTAATGCCTAGACTCAAGCCCTCTTTTCTGCACGCCGTATCCCTGGTATTCGGTGCAAGACCTCTGACTTATGTTTCCATGGTACCTCGTCGTCAGGGAACCTCCCAAGTCTGTTCGGTCTAACCTTCCTTCACTGTTCTCAAGGACCGTATCTTTGCTATCAAATATTGTGAGAGGAGATTATAAGTTTAGGATGAAGCCGCGCACTGCGGTCACTTTGTGCCGTCGCTTTGTTTCGTGAGCAGTCACCTGTGCATCTCTCCGTCGAAGAATCTTAAAGATACACAAATAAGGAGGAACCCACGGCATGTCACCCAAGATCACAATGATGGTTTTGACGAGACCCTCCAATAATTTATGGTTCTTTCAATTTTAACGTCGGACAATATTACCTATGCGCCACAAACATCAATACCCCCGAGACTTTTCGTCTCTGATGATCCTACTTCTAAGAGGCTTCCTCCGTGTTTCCGGCGGTCACTCGGCTTTCTCGTCGTCGTAGTCGTTATCGACGGTCACTCGTTCTTGTCATCGCCGTGGCTGTTGCCTTTTTTTTACTTGGTCATTTGCAGTGGCTCTAACTATGCCGGCGTATCTGTCCTTAGGTGCCTAGTGTGTTCTGATGTTACGTAGACGTACTGTCACCATTATTGTGGCTGTTTGATGGGAGCCCTTGGCTCTATTCAATCACATTGCGCTGTACTCCCTATTTTATCCTATCTTGTCAGTCTAATGCCCATGATGATGATGATCAATGATTTGGTTCAAGTGTTTTTTTTTCTCTCTAGACAGTTTAATATTTATCTGTCATCTTCATTAGCTTCTGCATTTTCACTGCTATTGAACAATAATAGGAAAAAAATCACTGGACAACACGAATGGAAGCCTCTAGTAACACCAGGTGTCTTTTGTATTATCCTCCTCGCTTCAGAAGGCTCGAATGGCGCAACTAGGCGTTCAATCCCAATGCTTCAACTGGCTCGCCACTCGTTGAAGGCCTCCAATCAAATCATTTCGTGTGATGTTCCCTTCTATCAACCGGGAAATGATACGGGTGATCTCCACATAGAGACCAGAGGTCGTCGTCTGGCTCGAAGCAATGTCAAATCTGCGTCCCATAGCTACTGGCAGTAAAGGTCAGAGTGTTCACGCTGTCAGAGCTGTAGCTGACCTTCGACTGGGACATTCGCAGCCATCGCATTTTCCGTCAATTCATCATAAACTGAATGGGATGCCCAAGGCGAAGCCCACAATGAGGCCGGAGCGAATGTGTTTACATCGCATGTTATACTAGCTGAGGCGAGCCTGTCAGTCTAAGCAAGCTACGTTAGTACACCACTACCACGTGTTTGGAGAGAACCCGTACTCACAGCCGTCCACATAGGATGCCTGCGTCCCTCAACGACCTCAGAGTCATCGAGACACGTATCGACCTCCTCGATAGAACGTTTTACACCTCTGGGCGGAGGGCTGGCGGAAGGATATGTATCAAACGTTACAGTCTTCCTCCCTCCGCCTGTCTTCATGCGAAATGAGGGTATCGACGACATGCAGGCGAGGTGAGGTATGCTTTAGGGGGATAACGAGCTGTTGCGAGAATCCTGATAGATCGACGTGAAGCCCATATTTCTTTTATAGCTACATTGGTAAACCCGTTCGGATTTTACCACTTCGGTGTTTGATAGGAAGAGATCTTAAGATTTCTTGAATCTAGATGTCAGAGAAAAAGTCGTTTGGACACTGGTTCCTGTACGTCTCTGGCTCGCTGCAAATAGAAGCCTGGGCTGGCGAGAATTTGACCTATATTGCGAGAGAAACATTTGTGAGGATGTCCTAGCGGCGGCAGCTCCCCGTACACTACATCGGTGGTACCTAGCCTCACATGGCCATCAAACTTGATGCTTAGGTTCAACGGCAGTTTGTTCTATGAGAAAAATTCCCGAGCTCATGGAGACCAGATATGTCCTAAAATAGTGGTTACGATTCCTCATCCCAGCCGGGTAATTAAGAGACTTTGGGCGATTTCGCGATCATGATGCAGGGCGCTTCTGGTATCAGATACAATTTCCCTATGTATAGCCTATACATGCCCTGATCCAACACGATGGAAGGGCCTTTACCGCTAGGCAAAGTGCTTGCGAGCAAGCCGGGGTGGTAAGTCAGCCATATGGGCCCGCTGGTTAGACGGCTCTACATGACAGCCCCATGAGAAGGTGTAGAATTTAGACAAGACAAGAAAACAGATGCTTACTTTCGTCAAACTCGTCGCCGCCATCGGAGGAGCGATGAGATAGCTTGAAATCTGTTATGCATGATGAAGCCACGAGCAAATATTTCATAAAACAGATGCTATACCATTTGGCTGTACGGGTTTTAAACCTAAGGCGGGGCTCGTTCATGGAACCTTAACAAATCGACGACAGACGTACCTTTGCGCTCCACTTCAAGACGAAACCTTTCATGTAGTCGCTCATTCTCTCTGTGCAAATATTCGTTGTGTTGACGCAACGAATGGATCACTCTGTTAACATCAGTCTCCATTCCCGTGCGTGCGCCATCGACCCCGGGGAAAAGGTGCGAGGGAAAAGTTTCCTTAAAACTGGGCTGGCTGACTGGCAGGCAGGTCTCGGCGCGTGAGAAACTGTGCCTAGGTAAGGCATTGGGATATTCCTGCAAGGCAAGGGTAGTAGAGGGTGTCAGTCCCGAATGTAGCAGGCCAGGGATTGATTTACCGAGAACTGGAACGTCTTCCTCATCGTCACCGGCACCAAGCTTTGACGCTGTAGATCCAGACATGCCTGAACTAAAGCAGGAATCGACGCAACGTCCATGGCGATAAACCGTTGGATGCGATGATATTTTTCGTCGAGAAAACGGCTGCAGATAACTTGATTAAAGCTACAGTTGGAGCAGCCGATATTATAGGCAACGCAGACGCTATCCATGGAGAGGCAGCGTGAGCAAGGTGTCTTAAAGTCGTTCAGTATTGGAGCTACGAGGATGGGTAAGCGACCGTACCAAGCGACCCCTCGTTTGACAGTATGCGTATTCGTCGTTCGGCGTCGGTTTCATCACCCATGCTTGAAGAATCCTAGTCCGCAACTGGGTTGAAAATCCCTTTACAGCAGCTCGCATATCAGAGTCCTGAGGCATGACGGTGGGTGTTTGAGAGACAGAAGACGCTGAGCCAGAGAAGAATGGGCTGACTATCGCTGTATTCAGTTCTGTTAGAAAAATATAATGAATTATTACTATCACCGGAGCCATGGACTCGGAAAAGGGTCTCCAAATTGAATACGGTTTCGATTTTCAAAGTGGCAAGACAGAGACAATCGTGTTCTCGTGGTTCAGACAAAGAAGCTACTCAAGCTTCGGGGGGTAAAACACAAATTTCCTGAGCTAAACTGAACAATGTTGACAGAGATCAGCTGTCAATCAAAAATGACGTACTGCAACGAGGCCATGCTATCAGGGTATCAACTGAGAACAAGCACGGTAGGCCAAACCGGGTCAAGGACGTTCCAGACGACGTAATCCCTGTAACGTGAGAAAAGGTTCACACACCTCAGGGAAGAATAGTCTAGCCAGTGGACCGGTCCATACGCAGACGAATTTGAGAACGAGGGAATAGAGCCTGAGATCAGGTTGTCACGGCCTTGCGCCTGGGGAGGTCGATCAGTCGGCATTCGCGCATAAGTAGGTATAAGGTTCCAAATTTCCTTCCTATCGAACATCAAACTCTAATGATTAATACGCACTTTGCCGGTCGATATCCCCCCGAAAATCGAGAAGAACCGTTCAGAGTATCTGGGGTCGAGTCCCCGGATTCAAAACTCGTTGCCTAGCGGGGGTTACTGGTAAGTAGTGTATTGTATGTGTTAAATAAATTACTTGCGAGGAAGATTTTACAAGTTTATTTGACATGTCGAGTGGACTAGCCCATGCTACACGCATGCATTGGGCAGCGAACGGAAATCATCGGAGAGTCGGAGATGGAGGGGTACAAAATTTCATCATTACTGTACCACGTGGGTTTTAGGTAATTATTCAAATTCTTGTGAGAATTGATGAACTGTCTCAGTTGCCACACCTCAGAATCGCATCAACCAGCGTCTGCCCCAAAGACACCGGTTTTGTTCTGTTTTTAAATGATGCATAGTCAAGCGCGGGAACAATGGTCTAATAGGGAAGCTCCGATGACTCAAGCATTGGGCCTAGGAAGCATCACGATACTGTCTTCGTTGAAACCCGTGAATGCCTCGTTCTTCTGCCCCCGCTCATCGACCCTCAAGATCACCGTGATGGAATCCTGCAATTTTCGGCGGAGGTCAATTGTACCGGTCTCATTAGCATCGATCCGAACGTTCTCTGGAAATGATGCCACCACATCTCGGATTTGAATTTTGCCCGCCATCCGTTCAAACACAGGTTGGTTCGCCTTTTCTATTCCCTGGGCAAAACTGCAGTACAACATGACTCAAGCAAACTTTCCATAGGATTGCCATCCTAAACGGCATATAGCTACACACCAGGAAGCACCTTTTTTTCACCGGCCCGCAGTCAATACATTCAAGGGCAGTCCGTGATATAACTTTTGGTTAGACTCAGGGCCGCAGATCACTGGCCTGTGAGCTTTCTCCAGCATTTATCCCATCAGATCTCATCGTCATCGGAACGTGCTCCCCTATGCATCATCCTTCTCGTCACTTTCTTTTGGTCGACGTCGGAAATACTCAGGCTCGGCTCCGATTTTCAACCTGGTTGTTAGAAGGTTTGATCTCAAAGATTGGAGGGGCGGAATTAGATACATACAGCAAGGTACGACCCAAACCATTGACTTCCTGAAACATCGCTAACAGTCAATATCCATGGCTCTAATGTGTTTTGGCCTCTGTGAATAGCCCATATGGTGCAGGGAGGAAGACTGGGGCGTTCCTATGCCGATAGATCATCACTAACTGTCTTTTGCCACCCACAGAAAGGCGGCGAATGCATGGACACCATCCTTTGGGCCAGGTGTTGGTCTCAACCTCTTTCAACGTGTTCTGTTCGGAGCTTAGAAAACAATCCGGAGTCGCATTTTGATGGTATACTGTCGCTATGGTGAGCCTTCTTACTTTCAGATGCTGAGCTTTCTGTCTTACATCGGCTCCACAGCTCTCGAAATTTATTTTTTCATTCCGGCACAAGAAGGTAAAGATTCTATGGGTCATGCGAAGTTATCTGTCCTGTCGATCGATCCTCTTGAGAATTGTTGTTAAATGCACGCGAACTTCACCCCGTCTCTGAATTCCTTGTTTCAAATCTCTGGAAGACGGTCCCGTTATATCGTCTTCAGATCTTCTTCACTGATTATCAAATTAATACTCAGCCCTTCTAATACCACGGCCTTTCTAGGCTCCATGCCGTTTTCAGGAGCCACTCGGAATGTTGTCGTTTTCTCTTCTCTGTCACCGCTAAGCGCTTGGCCGTCATAGCTAGAACAATAGTTCTGGTGTCAATCAAACTTGCTGTGCTTGTTCTGCACTACATGTGCGACCCTTAGGCTGTGCTCGTCTTCTTGTGGGGACATCGACCTAGCCGTTTGCGGAAGACTTTGATGTGTTCAATTAGTTCACAACGTATGTGTTTATTTAGGTGCCTCTTGTGGCAATTAATCACTTTGTGTAAGCGTTAATTTCTTCTCCCAACGGAGTCAAGTTTGCTCGTTGACCTCCTTATTTTGCGTATCTTCGACTGTTATACATGGTATTCAAGAGGGGAATACTTTGGGACACCGGTGGAAAGTACTCCAACGGCGTTCAGCCCCGCTGCTTTAACCGACTCGCTACTTGCTGAAGCCTCTCGATCAATTCATTTCGTGTGATGCTCCCTTCTGTCAATCGGGAAATCGCGCGGCTAATCTCAGTATAGAGACCAATTTTTGTTGTCGAAGTCAAAACAGGTGAAAGGCCGTGTCTCGTCGCTACAGCCATCAAATGTATCAGTCCATCTTACTCGCAGCAGAGCACAGCAAAGCTGTAGCTAACCTTCGACGGGTGTGTCTACTTTTGCTACTGCCTCCGCCTCAAAGCCTTCATCATAAATCGAAGGCGAATCCCAAGCGGTGTGTGCTCTTGCGGCCCATGATGAGGTTGGCGTAAATGTGTTGATGTTGTATGTGATACTATTTGATATCAGCCTATCAGCCTAGGAAAGGAGCTTCAGTGTGTGTCCCCATCGACGTAACTACCCCCACTCACGGCCATCCATTCAGGGCGTTTTCGTCTTTCTACAACCGGGTCGTCAAGGTATAGATCGGCCTCATCAATGAATCTTTTTACACCTCTGGACGGACTCAGGAGAGACGAATCAAAGGTTACGGTCTTCCTCTTTCCTCCGGTTTGAAGGGGAAAGGATGGCATCGATATAAGAGTGTCAGTGTTGGGATAAGCTGAGGAGGGTTGGTTGGTAAGAAGTCTCGAGATGGCTGTCCTTTTATAACCATCTTAATCCCGTCGTATGGGATCATCCATACATGAGTCTACTTCGTCACGACTAGACCGCCGCCGAGGGCTAGCGAGATATATCACGTATGGGAGGAATAAAAGTGAGGATCAGTAGCTTCCATGGAGGACTTGTGATGGGTGCCTGGTCTATTCCAGTCGTCGAAGGGATCAGGAGCAATCTCTCACGAATTCGATTTTCATCTACTCGGAAACAATCTTGCTCGTACATCCTGGGAATCATGAATAAGAACTAGGCGCCAACCTATCTGCTGTTAACATTGGATAAATTCGGTAGAGTGAGGAACGGCGATGCCTGGGAAACACCAATTTTACAATCTTGTATATGCCCCCAAGTTAACTAGTGGAGTGATGACGAGCAGACGATTGAAGAGGTAATCTACTGTGATATGAAAATCGGAAAGTAACGGATTATCCAGGGGACCTGATGCTTGCGTTTCTTGCAGCAGCTCACACATTATGAGCAGCACGGAAGAGCTTATCTTGTATCGAGGCGCATTCAAATTATCCGCGGGCTCTATAGTCCTGGACATTAAATGATTCATACCTGATGAAGGTTGTAAATCCTAGTAAGTGAATTTGCAAACCGCGAAATTGAAATTTTTGTACTTTGTGGCGGCTCCGATCATTTGACGCTGCGGGCTCACGATCGTTTACTTTATCAACACCCCTGAGTGCCTCTTTCTATTCTCTGTCGAACCTTATATCCCTTAAGGAGCTTCGAGGTCCAATCTGTGCTTTGTTGAATCGTTTTGGCTGACTATCCTTACTGCTTTCTTCCGCGTCAATTTTATGCGGTAATCCCACTCCACCGGAAAGTCATCGAAACGGCTTCATGATTCTTCTTGACAGCAATTCCCCAAAGGTAAAAGTAATGCCCCACCACCTGGTCGCTATTGTAAGATTGAGGCTCCACAGCGGAATGAAATATCCAAGATTGAGCGCCTCGCTACATCCTTGGTAAAATATATTTTTCTTCTCCGGGTGCCACTTGTAGTGACCGGTAACTACTCAATCATTTCTTCCCAGGGTTAACCATAAAGACGCCACCTTTCCATTAAATTAAATTATTTTTACAATCACGGCCGTCGATTTGTCACACCTCGATAGCTTTAATTTGTACTGGACGTTTTCTGTTTTTTCAAGGTGCGGCCAAAGAACTCTCGTACTCCTGGAACTCGCATCTTCCACGCAAGTCTGTACTTTCAGAGCTCTTTTCTGATTTTCTTTTGGAGCTTCTAGTGAGGTACAAGTACTTCCTGTCAATTTTGTGCCTACCCGAACGGGATATGCCTTTCTATTCACCCCGTGCATTGAATCATAATGTATTCGACATGTCAAATTTTCAGGGGAGCAGTCTGAAGTGTATTGTATACAATTGACTGATCGGGGGAAAGTCGTCAATCAGGAAGGAAAGAAGGAGTTTTATCACACCACCCATGGCCCCTCATTTCTAATCATTCTTGAGACCTGTTAATTGGATGAACCAGGATGTCGGTTGCCATTGTCCGTAGCTGATGACTTGCTTTCTTGAGGTACAATTTAATGACATGTCCGACATAGCTATCTATAATCATTAGGCGCCGTTCCCGCAGATGACAGTGGTCCTGAGAAGATGTCCCACTCCCCACGACGGTCCCATGATGAAATATGGCCAGCATGCGATGTAGTTGATGAAAAATATTGGAGCAATTGTAAAACTTTTCTCAGACTACGATTGCAACGATCAGTTTCTTGAGAATAGTAGTGCCGGTGGGAATCAAACGGAGGGATCATTCTGTTTTTCAATTTCTGCGATTCGGGTTCACATTCCTGACTGGTACATAGGCCGGTAGGCTAGGTCTCGGAATTAAATTCTCTGCTGTTCTGTTCCCTGGTCTCCACCAAACGTTTGCGATGTCCGCATCAAATGATCCTCAGCCAGCGGCTCGAAT